TTTAAGTCAGATACATTGTCTCTCAGAAGTCCATTAGAATGTGATCCTTCAACAACCATGTCCTCCATTTTGGCAGGGGAAACATCTGTTGTAATCTTGCTGAATATTCCTGATATGAAACCTTTTTGATTGGAGAGCTTTTGGTTTTGCAGTTCAGCTTGATTCTGAGAGGGTAGTTGAGGTAGCTGCCTTTTTGATTGACATTTCTGAGTGGAAATCTGTGTTGGTATATGTTGCTGCTCCTGTTTCTGTTTAAATGAATTCTGTCCGTTTGGAGATGCATCTTCAGGATGCGAGGATGTGAGCTTACTGAATAGACCAGACAAAATTCCTGACTGAGCGGATGTATCTTGCATTGCCACAGGAGAACTATGTTTTTTCTCAAGTGACTGCTGCAAACAAGCATGTTCATTGTTTTCCTTTGTAACAGGTGGCATATTCAGTTCCTGTGACTCCGTGGAGGATACTTTAAGAAAGGCAGAAAAGAGACCACCTGACTGGGATTTTTGTTTAAATGAATTATCTTGAGTTGAGTGGCTTTGTCCCATCACATTTGTTTTTGGCTGGAGAGGAGAGGACTGATAGTTGGATGCTTGTATTTGTTGTGTTGACTGAGAGACAGAAACATCTGATGTGGCAAACTTGAAAGGGCCGGACGAAAGGACATCTTGTTGAGAAGGTCCTTGATGGGATACACTTTGTCCAGGGGCATCTACTATGCCTTTCTGATGTTGGTCTGACTGCTGATTCTGAATTCTGGACTGCTGAGCAAGGTTAGAGCTCTGTCTGTCTGCATTCATCTTGGCAGGATCTTGATGAGAACTCACACTTGATGATTTTTGTTGCTCCTGGGACATGTTTGTTTGAGTGTCTGACACCTTGTCAGTGGAGGCAAATCTGAAAAGGCCAGACAAAATACTCCCCTGTTGAGGTGGTGCACTAGCACATTTCGGCTGTTGTTCAGAGAGATTTTGGAGAGGTCTATGAGACTCGTTTCCATAGGAGGACGAGACAAGAGGATTAGATGCACTTTGTTGGGGGTGAGGTTGGTTTTGTTGATTTATTACTTGAGCAGACTGGCTCCTTTGTTGTGAATGATTGAGTTGAGTAACTGCTGTCATATCACCCGTTGATGCAAATTTCATGAATCCTGAGAGTAAGCCTCCTTGTTGTGATTGATTAGTAGATGTTTGGGAACCTGATGAATCATCAGAGGCAGCTGATTTAAACAAACTAGAAAACAGGCCCTGACGTTCATTTTGAGATGTTTTTTGCTCTGTAACACGAGGGACTTCAGTTAGACCAGGATGTTGGTGCCTAAATTGCATTTGTTCTTTAGCAGAAACTGGATTCTGATGTTGCATCCTAGGTACATTCTGATTTGACCCTGGAGGAAGTGTAGAGCTCTGAGTATTAGGCCTTTGGGGAGGAGGTTGAGAGCTCTGAATATTAGGCCTTTGGGGAGGAGGTTGAGAGCTCTGAATATTAGGCCTTTGGGGAGGAAGTTGAGAACTCTGAATATTAGGCTTTTGGGTAGGTGTAGTAACAGGTTGCAGATCTTCGGTTGGTGCCACCTTGAAAAAACTAGAAAACCAACCTGTTTCTGTGTTCACCATAGCCTTTGCCTCAGGGGGTTCTTTATGGATCTGTGTTGTTGATTTTGTATTGTCAGGAACTGAAGAGGGAAATACACCTGTATCTATGTTTGTGGCTGGAAGAGTTTGATCGGTCTTAACTGAGTTTTGTGACATACTTCTTGTTGTACTAGAATCCTCACCAGTTGCAAATTTAAGAAATCCAGAAAACAGCCCCCCTTCTGATTTTTGAGGTTGTGGGACAGATACATTGCCAGAGGAGACAGGAGGTTGGCTTATAATGGAGGATTTATCGGAAAGTTTTTCTACTTTTACGTTTTCCGCTGATCTGAAGACAGGAAAAACTGTCTGTGTTTGAGTCTGAGGAGGCACTGGATATCCAGGTGAGATTAATGAACTGAGAGATTTCTTAAAAGGACTAAAAAATCCTGACTCCTCAGCTGAGTTTTGTGTTCGAGGCTTAATGTGCGTCTTCTCACTATGTATTGCATTAGAGGTAGTTGTAAGAAGGTTTTCACCGTTAACTTGATATGCATCTGACATTTTACTGTGTTTTGTATAGTCATTCAAAACTCTCTGCTGCTCTCCTGGCTTCCTTTGCCTTGCATCAAAATCCATTTGAAAATAACTTTTGTCATTTTCTCCAGTGAAAATTTTCCCATTTTCCTGCACTGATTTCATAGAAGATGGTGTCTCTTTGTGAGCTTCGACACCACTGTACTCATTTCTGATTGTTTGAGTTGACTGGTCTACCCCTTGAAAGTTGGCATCAGATGGCTGGAAAGACGAAAGAGATGGCATTGCAAACTTCCTATCAGACTGAGGATCCTGAGTAGGTGATACCACAGCTACTGGTGTGGGACTTTGTGCAGACTTTGGTATGAAGGACAACAATTTTGATATACCAGAACGAGCTGGAACATTATTTGGTGCCTCTGATTGTTCAACAGACTTAGACCCTACTTGTTTTGAGCTTGACACAACTTTATCTGTTAAAGAGCTAAATAATGAGCTCATGGCATTCTTTATCTCTGCCACTCCATGTTCAGAATCACCACTTGAATTTAGTTCTTTGGCATCTATGGGTTTTTCTTTTACTTCCTTAGAGATGATCCCTTGCTCATCTCCAACTGATTCCGTTCTTGCACTACCCTGAGAAGACAGCCTTGATTTGTTAGACTTCGGTAAGGATCCATATTTACTGATCTCCTCTTCTTTTTCAGCTAGATATTCTGATACAGTTTCAACCAGGCACTGCAGCTCATCCATAGGATCAACATATTCATCACTAGGTTCCTCTACAGGAGACAGCATGACCTCTGGAGCCCATCCACCAATTTTACACTTTCCACTTTTCTTGTCACGGTAACCTTGAAGCCTCTCACTCTGGCTACCATATGTTGAGAGACATCCATAGTGGCTATAATTCTTCCTCTCCTCACTCCTGAGTGCCTTAGCTAAAGAGGTCATTTCCTCTAACTCCTCCTCAGAGCCAATGGAATATTGTATCTCATCTGAACCCTCAGAATCAAAGCCTACATCTTCCCTCAGTCTAGCAGCTTCTTCCTCTTGATATGCAACATAATTCTCCAGTGTGTTTTCTAGCTTGTTTTTGGCCCACATTCTAGTTTTGTAGAGTAAGCCATTTTTGTATGGTTTCAGGCATGGCATCATGTTTTCATCAGCCTCTTCCATTTCTTTCACTTGACGTAATACAAGCTCGCTTCGTTTTTGACGGAGAAATGCAAGATCAGGAGGGAAATGCTCTGCTCCGACATGTTCCAGTCCTCCTGGATCCCGGATTTTTTTCTTTCTCCTTCGGTCAATAGTGGCATAGCCTTCTGGGTAAGCAGCATTTAATGAAGCACTTTTATTTTTTATTGGAGACAACTGCTTGAGTATGGGGTCATGGTAAGCCTTTTCAATATTAACAAGATCATCTTGTCTGTCTTGCTCCTCAATCCATGTCTGTTTCTCTCGATTAAGGAACTCATTCTGGGTACTTTTAACCTGTGGTTTGTATTTTACCTCCCAATCCTCCACACCCATGCCTGAATCTACTGGGACAATCCTAACTCTACCCCTTTGATTAGGAACTCTAGCGGAGATTAAAAGGATGGAAGAGGATAAAAAGGAGGGGGAAAGAAAGAAAGAGAAAAACGCATTTCAACATTAGAGACAAAAGCTGCTCAAAGCAAAAACATGATCATAGTGATGCACTAGAGCAATGTCAAAGCAAAAGCTTTGAGTTTAAAGTGCCCCTATTTTATTTTCTCATAATATACATTTACACATCACCACATTTTCAACGATTCTCAAACAACTTGTCGGATAATTCAATCTCTCTAAATCCTTCCTTTCCGTGAGCTACTCTGCTCTGATTGGCCAGACAGCTTAGTTTATTGATTGGTCTACCGTATACAGCACGTGTGTCGAAAACCAAACCACCCATTGTCATAACAACATCAATTATGCGTGTCCTGAGACTTCCTCCACTGTACACTAAACACAGTAATGAACAATGACTCCGATTTTACCATATCAATCAAAATGCAAGTCCGACGATGAAACAATGGAAGAACTAGTAATTCAACCCGAACTTCCATCACAAGGACGACTCGAGCAGGACATTTCTCAGTGATATGCGACTCAGTTTGAGGTACATTATGAGATGTTGCAACTGTAATTCCTCACCGTCTGCATTAACAATTGCATGTCGGTGCATGTTACAGTGCACTTTCGCATTCAAAACATTGCAGGATGTTTTCATTCTTTTAGGTTACACACTACATGAAAGGTCATTTTCAAAAATCCATAATAGGGACACTTTAAGTAAAGATTTTTTTACATTCCTTATTATACCATGAAATGCCTTTCACCTCACTGACAAATAGATACCCCTCTCCCCAACCATAACTTAATGATCAAAAGAAATACAATCTCTGGTCTGTATTTTTTTAAAGGGATCTGATGCAATAGAATTATCCGGATTAGCTCTGTGCTGGGCCACACAAAAGACTCTGATTAACCACAATCTTGGAATACCACATTTCAGTTTTTTTTTTTTCTCTTACACAAATCCCAAGTCTAAAAGACTAAAATCCATTCTCAGATTGCAAGTTGCAAGTTGAAAGTTTGGCATAACAAACAAAGATGGTCTGTACCCAGCAGGATATTTGGCAGAACACAAAACAATGAAAAATAAAAAAATAAATACAAATTTAAACAAGGAAAAAAGACGCTCATAACAAGATATTCATATTCCTTAATATGTGTTACTTTTTTCCAAATTGCTATTTCAAAGCTGATTTATGGACATACTGTATCTGTTCCAAAATGTCGGGTGCAGTTGTACACAAAGTGACAAGACGTATAGTGAGTATACTCAATAGTAACTGAAAGTACCTGCTTGCATGGTGCTCCCTATAGTCAAATTCAAAGCTGTGCAAAGAGTCAGCACAGGAGTCCATGTGCTGCTGAAAACGTGGCCCCATGGGATACTGGTGAAGTGAAGAGTTGGGCTGGGCTGTGGTGTGGTAGCGGGGAGGCAAGCTACTGCTCGTCTCACTCCTGTAGTCACTGTCTCTGTCCTCCACAGGACTGTCCAGGTCATCCAAAGCTAGTTAGGGTGAGGCAGAAAGGTCAGGCTGGAAATATTACAGATGAGTAATGCATAAAATTCCAATCTATCTTGGATTTTTTTATAAATATATTTTGATGTAAATACAAGAAAAGCATAAAACAATCTCTGATCATCCTAGTGAAATCATATGTGTCTCTCTGAAACAAAGTTGACACAATACAAACAAGTAGACGGAAGTGAATGCAGGATAACTTAAACAGGGAGCTCACAACATACACAAAGAACAAATCATTATCTCAACAGGGTAAAAACTCAAGGATATTTTGGGGGGGAAATTCATGCATCCAATCTAAACAAAGCGCCTAAATATTTTAATATGTAAATTACTGTTAATTTAATATTTTTCAGGTTAATTAATTTTCAGGTTCATTATCAAATATTTTCAGATATTTATTTTTTACACTATTTTTACACTAAATATTTACAATTTGCCATTGCAAAAATATTATAAAATGTGTTACAATACATGGATCTGTTTGGTTGTATTGAGATTCCATCTATGCAAGTGTTCATGAAAATCTCAACACTTCGGACTCATATGAAAGTACAGAAGGGCTTTTAAGGGTCCGGAGAAGTTCTAGGGAGTAAAGGGTAACTGTATAAAATTACATACTCTGGCTGTCGGCCCATCCAAAATAGTTGCCTGGTGAGGTTAAAAATCAAGAGTGAGAGAAGATGTGCAAAAATAAAATCCTTTACAAAGACTGACATTTTGGTTCTAATGTGAATGCTTGTGTTTGCTTTAGCGAACATTTGTGTTTCGATACGCTGTGAACAGATTGTATGTTAACATATACACTACTCGAAGGTGACAAAAAGAAGAGGCATGTGAAGATAAAGGAGTGGAGAGTGTAGTGAAGCATCAGGCATGATGTCGTGGCTCCATCTAGTGTGAGATGTTGTCACTCACAGCATTGAGAGGCAGCACCGGGCAGAGGGCGTCCCGCTACTTCATCCTGTAAGGGAAACTAACATGAGGAGAGAGAACAGGATAAGAGTAAACATGAAAAAAGTATAAAGTAGTAATTACATGCAGATTCCAATAATAATAATAAAAAACATTAAATTGCATGCATATTCACTGCAAAACTCACTTCAAACTGTACAGATACAATATTATATACATCTTGAGACCGATTAATTTAAGGACTTTATTATGATTTTTGCAAAATAAGAATTTTTTGTATATTCATGATTATACTGATAAATCTGCCGTACAATAATATATATGTATATTTAATTAGTGCCTTTCCAAAACCCAAGGTTCCTTTAAAGAAGTCCTAGACAATTACCCATGAGTGTTTTTTATTATTCTGGTCATATTAAAAACAGCAACAAAAACTGCTCAAAGCACACACACATGCTGATCCCATACCAATGCTGTGACGGTAATTATTAGATAAACAAGATGGAAACAGAGAAGAAACGTATATAATTAGACCTACATATATAACTCAGAGACAACAACAAATCTACCTGCATTATTTAATATAAGATAAGCCAAAAGTATAAGCCAAAAGTAAGCAACAATAGACTTGACAAGGAAAACTAGATAATGACAAATTTATTGTGTTACAAAGGGGTGATTGTTAAGATGTAAATATTAACCAATCTCAAATTACAGCACATCTTAAGAGATAACATTTTAAATGTCTAACACTTTTTACAGAGTCTTTGTTACATGTTACATGTAGTTACTACAGTAATGATGCGTTATTACATGAAACTTAACCCTAAACCAAACCCTAATCCCCCAACCCTATAGTAAGTACATGTACTGTAGTTACTTAATATAACTCAGAATTTAATGTGTAATAACAGTGCAACAAAGACACCTTTAAATAAAGTGCAACCGCTTAAAATAAATCTTACTAAAAAGTTAAAAGTTTTTACTGTCCCCTGTCAGGGATGATGTGTGTTTAAAGCAGAAAGTCAAAGTGAGATATACAGTAAAGTTATACATTACATATTTTTTATATAAATTTTTAATATTAACAAGAAATATTTATAATCAACAGCTATAATCAAAAGTAAAAAAAAAAAGATAAATGGATGACATCAAGTTCATTAAACATTTAAATATTTTTAAAATTCATTCATATACATTCTATTTCATAACTAGTGGTACAATTACCCACAATCTCACAGCTACGATCTTGAATTAAGTAATATAAAGTGATATTATGATTTCTGGAAAACGTCTACACGTTCAAATGCAAATTTCAATGACAACTATAGCAAAACACGATGTAAATGCACTCATAAAATTGTCATGCAACAACAGTCCACACTGACTGTCATTGCATATAATATAATGAGGATAGATTAATGATATGCATTATATAATATGCAACGACAGTCAGTGTGGACTGTTGTTTGCGAACTAACCCCCACTGTAGTGAAATATTGAAGTCATGCTGTTGTTTTGCTGCACATGCACAGGTCTTACCTCATCGTGAATGCCCATAGCATTGATGCGTTCCAGTTTGCCGGTCCAGTATCGAGCCTCATCCTCTGGGATTTCTGCAAAAATGGTAGTGAGATGTGAATTTTGCAGTCTAAGACATAAAACTTCATGCAAACCATTTAAATGTGCCACGACGTAATGATTAAGTATTCAGCACTTTTAAATGTATAATGAGCTCCTCGGCTGAAGGACCTCAAAAATAGTTCACCAGTTAAAAAAAACAGTGTATTACATGACACTTCACTTTAAAAGCAAGTACAGGGACAAAGGGATGTTGTGCTGTCGGACTAAAGCTCTATTTGTCGCAATACAAAGAGGAGCAGGAAAAATCAGTAGTTAAGTTCATACCGACAGAACCGGTTACTTTGCAAACAAACCATATGTATTACACCAATACTAATCCAATATGCGTAGACACAGTTTATGTAGTCATACAGGTGACAAAAGAAATCATAAATAATACAAAAATCTGTTTCTATGTTTGTAGTTTAAACATGTTTGCAAGCCAATTGTGTCAATTTCAATTTCACACTAACTTTCTCACTTGGAGCAAACAATCTCTCACACAATGTAACACTGTCCATCAATAAAAGGGTGAAAGAAATACTGACGAGGTCCTGATATTGACGAGGGGCGGAGAATTGGGATCATCTGTGTGTGTGTGTGTGTGTGTGTGCTTGGCAATCAAGTGGTGTTTCAGACTGGACGTGCTGCGATGATGATAGCTCAGTTCACAACGACAGAACGCACAGATCGCTTTGGTCTTGTCAATGGAAACATTTGGCAACTTTTTAGTAAACTTTCCATTGGCATCCATTTTAGCGTCTCGTGCTCGTCCTCCACTCAAAACGTAACGATTACCAACTATTTGGCCGGCTCGCAAGCCCAAACAAGTGTGTGCAGTTTTTTTTTTGTTTCCTATAGCTAGCTAGATCCGCTTGCGCTTTGGTCGTTGAAGCAACAAAACGTCCTCTCGCGGCGCAAGCCATTGAAATGAATGGGTTTCATAGCGCAGGGCCATGCACGCCAAGTTGTGTTGCAAAAGCATGTGAAAAAAAAAAAAAACGACGAAGTTTGCTGGGCCAAAAAGATTGTTAATTGCGCGATAAAAAAATTGACGCAGTTAAAATGGGTTGCGTTAACGCCGTTATTAACACGTTTAACTAACAGCCCTAGTTAAACGTTATATTTTTTGTTGCTGGTGTTTATTTTTTGAATAAAATAAATATTAAAATGAATATTTTTGCGGAGTAACAGTTTTATATAAGCAATAAGCCCCTTGAAGCCCGTGTATTAGAGTGAATTTAGAACAACTAAGGGGCGTTGTTAGGCACGGTGCGGAAAAATCACGGTCCCCAAACTAAAGTGTTACTAAAAATGTAATTTCAGTCTTTCAAAATTCGATGCGTTACAGTTTAATTGTGTTGCCGTTTCTTAGGAATCGCTAGTAAATTTCACAAATAATTACAGAGTAATTGTTTCAAAGTACATCATTCCCCACTTTTTCGATGGGGAACGATGCGGACTGTCAGTCATGATTTAAAAACAAATTGGTTTTGGGTGCAATGTGAACAAAGCCTCAGATACTGCGCTCCGCGTCCTTTGAAGGCACATGGGATACTGAACACGAGGAGAGTAGCTTCAAAGTGCTCGGATAAAACAGTCAGGCTTATGAATGGGATCAATGGCAGGTAACCAGGCAAAATGCAGCGCTTACGAAGGTTCGACCTTTCCCATCCCAAAAACCTGCACCACCACACACTTTATTTACAGCCCATAGCTCCACTCACAATGAAGACACAGCTGGCAAACATGTAAATATTTTTTGTGAAGTCTTACACAAAGAGGAGCAAATCAAAGTGATCATTCAACCAGCCTCCTCAAGCCTTCATTTATCTCTCCGCTGTATGAGTTCTCAGGAAACTGTGGCATTCTAGCCTAAAACGCTGTTTTATGTTTCTTTGCTTTTACTTTTTATCATTCTTTTTTTTTTTTTCAATTTACAAAAGTGTTGCCCAGATTACAACCGTGTATACTGGATAAAGCAGCTGTTTTGGAGAGACAATTCGATAATTGATTTATTTAAAAATATAGAATAGAAAGTAAAAGCATCAGAGAGACAGACGGGATTGCTCTTATGCAGTGTTTCCAAACACTTACTGTGGAAATGGGGATGCAAATTATCAATTAATTCAACAATTGTTAGGTTAGTTAATCGACCTTATCGATAAGCGGCTATTTTCCTGAGAATGTAAATTTCTCACGGTATCAATAGTGTCTTTAACGTATAAAGCTAAAAAATTGCTTATATACTGAATAAAAAGCATGTTATATTGCTCAATTGATGTTTCATTGTAACAGTTGGGATACGGTACAGATAATGGCATTTATGTAGTTTAACAAAATAAATTATGCACAGAAAATTAAAATACATAAAAATGTGAAACATGTTGCATGTGAAAACATTAAGCAACATAAAATCCATTTTAAATAAAAATCAATAAGGGTAGGTTTAGCCTACACTATGCTAATAACAGATGATAAATTTTGTTTTTTTAAGCAACAAAAAACTATTTTGAAAGAGTGAATCTCACCGAAGGGCAGTTCGAAGCGAGTGTCCAGCAGGACTCGATGTGGCGTTGGGTTTTTAGTCCCATATATCTCATCTGCCTTCATCAGAACTTCAGAGTCCAGAAATATCCACTCGCCAGGGCCCTCCTGTTCAGAGGAAAGGTTATTCATTATGTTAAGCAGCATAAAAGAGGAATCTGCAGGACACTAAATTAAAACTAAAAACTTCCCATTAGAAATGTATTTTAACATGGAATGATGGAAGATTTTGTGAGATGAAGGACTTCCTCACCTCCTCTGAATGGCAGATGCTTTTGAGCGGGATCCAGGCTGTTCCTAACATGGTGTCCCAGATGAGACCTTTGTTCCACACCTCTACGATGAGGCCCAAGTCCAGTCGGCTGATCTCACTGAAGGACACACACAGAACAGAAAGATACTTCAATAGTGAAAAATCAGTTGTTGTTGGATTTTGTCAGCAGTTTTGTAACTGTTATTTACGTTTAATTTTTCGTACTTTTCAGGAACTTATGGGGTCCGGAAGATTTTTGTATTGTTTTGTTTTATAAAAATTGATACATTTATTTGGCAAGGATGCATTGAATTACAAATGCATACATGGAAATGAACAAAAAGTGATACTAAAAACATTTATAATGTTACAAAATATCTCCATTTCAAATAAATGCCGTTTTGAACTTTCTATTCATCAGAGCCCCGAAAAAAGAATCAAGGTTTCCACAAAAACAGTTTTCAACATGTTTCATGTTTTTTTTAAAGCAGCAAATCATCATATTAGACTGATTTCTGAAGGATCATGTGACACTGAAGACTGGAGTAATGATGCTGAAAATTCAGCTTTGCATAACACAAACAAATTACATTTAAAATATATTAAATGAAAAACAAAAAACAAACTAAAAACAGGTATTTAAAATTGAAATAATATTTCACAGTATTCATTTTCTACTGTATTCCATCAAATAAATGCACTGCAGGCAGTCCTGTTTCAATAAGAATATATATATATATATATATATATATATATATATATGAAGACAAACGGAGCATCAGATGTGTTAATAAATGACCTTACATAAACTTGCACCTGCACTCCAGTGTATTGAGTGCCTGATCTCCATATTTTAACAGTCTGTGGGGCACTTCACAACACCAACATGACAAAAGCAGCCGAAGCAGATCTAATTAGCTTCATCGTCTTTAATAAAATCCCAGCTGTAGTGTAAGATTTTCCAAACAAAAAAGATTAAAAGATGCATGCAGTAAAAAAAACAAAAAAAAAAAACTCCTAGAAAATACCAAGCCTAATACCAGCTACAGACTGTGCGATTTCAGCAATCCTAGAAGATCATTACAAATCACACTTTAGGACATAGATCTAATAAACTTCAGTACGACTTTGGTATGTAGACAGTACGATGATGTCACCTATTGAATCGTAGGCTAATATAGAAGAATAAAACATCATCAGCATGTGCTGGTGGTAAACAAATAGAGCAAGATGAATCGCACTTTTGACAATTGTGGTTTTTATGTGCACTGAAAAAAAAGAGGAGGAAGAGAAAGAGAAGAATATGGACGCAGTCATAGCTTGGGAAAAGAGGCCAACTTGGCAAGCAGTTTAAGTTTTAGCGCCATGATCAATACGCCATTTCATGATGCATTTTTATTGGCTAGTCATTAGACATTTTTTTGGTTGCAAGACAAGCCGTCTTTGAACCTCTCTCACTGTACGGCGTAGGACCACTGTTTAGGAGCCACGACCACAGAAATCACCACGATTGGTCATCTTTCGTCTGGGACAAATTGAACAATGTGTACTGGGCATTAAAGTTGCTCAAAGTTACTAAGCAGTTCGTATGGCTTCAATTGCGATTTCAATATGGGATTCAATGTAAAAAAAAAGAGATTTTTTCCATAACCACTACATCATATAGCCGGTGAAAACCTCATCACTTGGAAAATAAATATCACACCTCTTGAACAAATTCACAACAACAGTAATTTCAACAATGAAGAGTGTGTTTGAGAAATTTACAGAAACACTGCAAATATGCAATCGTGTAAATTGATATTTAACGCATTGTTTATATATCACGTGTGTGTGTGTTTTTGTTTTTTTTGCTCAGGGCTCATGAATTTGTTCAAATTGCTATAGAAATGCTGAAGTCTGATCTGCATAATCACATACAGTTAAAAAAATAAAATAATGCTTGCACCGGTAGAATCGTGCTCCAATAACAGCGGCTTCACGCCATCTGCCAACAGGCAGCAAGGCTTTTTACCACTGAATGACACAAACACGGCTTTTATCTGCCGCTCTGCTTGTTATAAATAAAGACCAAAGCACACATGCGCGCCGCAACTAAAGAGGAACATTTGGAAATCCATTCATTATTCATTTAGGCTTTCAATTGTCTCCTAAGTGAGGTGAGGATGAAATGGCTCTAGACCCCCAGAGAACACCTTTGTTTGCTTATCTGCAATTCTCTTTTTTTTGGCACTTGTTCATTTTCCAGAACATGCCAAGCGATGATGGGCTGAGTAATTACTAATTGATAGGTTGCTATAGATACCGCTAGAGCTTGCTGATGCCACACACACAGCACGCACGCTAAAAACGCTGTCCCGGAGAGACGTGACGTCTAAAAACTAACCCGAAGGGGTCATACCGAGGTTCAAACATAGAACAGCTGAACTCGTGACACGTCTGAATGATAGAATAACTTTGCCCTTTGATTAAGCAAACAAGCAAGGAGCTATATAAACAGCTGTAATGCCATCGGTGATGCGGTTACATCATCATAATTATTTAAGCTAGTCAAACAGGCTCAAAGTGAGCAAACAAACAAAGGTGTGCAGGTTTCTTAAGCTTAACCTAAATGGCCATGAATTGGTTGGAAGGAAATATATGCAACACATCATTGGTTTTGCATATTGCTCAGCTAGGAGCTTTTTTTGTAAGGCAATGCAGCTACAAGACAAATGTTTAACTGTTCTTGCGTTAATGTGCACTCAAATACTTTGAAACTCTATTGGTATTGCTTATTTGACTTAAGGGGTTATTCAAATCTGCATGTCCTTCCTGTATCAGTGTGGGTTTCCTCCGGTTGTTCCGGTTTCCCCAAATGACATGCAGGTTAGGTGGATTGGATTGTCAGGAGTGTGTGAGTGTGAGTGTGAATGTGTCTCAGCACTCTCAGTGATGGCTTGTGTCAGGAAGGGCATCCGGCATAAAACGTCATTGACATGACTGAGTTAAAATTGATGATTTCTCTGGATTTTTCAAACATTGTTGGATTTTGTGTACTTACCACAAATATTTCCAACAAAGTCAACAAAAATATAACATTGTTCTATTGGTTTTTAGATATTTTTTTCTATCAAAAATATTACATATTCTGTATTTAAATATTACATTATAATACAGAAGCTAAATATATTTCAGTTAGCATTCAGTTTACCAACACTTTAGCCTACTAGCTTAGCATAGTTCAAACTTGTAAAGAAAACGCTCAGGTAGCTCAAGATACCAAGAAAATGTACCAAGAAAATGATTTGCTAGATCAAATACTTCTGTAGAAAAGTCAGTCAGTGTTTTTTCTACTTCATTATATAAAAAAACATGTTTAAACTACACTGACTGCACAACAGACCAACCAAAGAAGTTACTAACCAAAATATGACATATTGTGCATTTAAATATCACATTATATTACAGAAGCTAAATATATTTCAGTTAGCATTCAGTTTACCAACACTTTAGCCTACTAGCTTAGCATAGTTCAAACTTGTAAAGAAAATGCTCAGGTAGCTCAAGATACCAAGAAAATGTAAAAGTTATTGTAAACGCATCAACAAAAGAGTATAGTTAACGAGACAAATAATCTTTTTTTAAAACACTCGAACTTTAAACTGATCGAAGGTAACAGGAAAGACATTTATAATGTTATGAAAGATTCTATTTCAAATAAATTGTCCTTTTAAACTTTCTAATCATCAACTAGTTATTAAAAAATATATAACTTCCACAAAAATATTAAGCAGCACAACAGGTTTCATCATTGATAATAATAAGAAATGTTCCTTGATCATCAAATTGATTCACTGATAAATGACTCTTTCTCAGAAAAACTTTAAGAATGCATGACATCGGGCAAGAATGTAGCACATAACACATAATCAGAAATCAATATAATAATCAGTCTCTGCTCATCGTCCATCGGCCCGTGTTTGTCCCAGAGGGCTCTAACATTACTTGATTAACCTGGGATGCTGCTTTTATACACTCCTCCGAGAACAAAGACGCACAAAGCTTGGCTAGATTTAAGGGCTCTGTTCAATTACCAGGACATCTGGCTTTCTGAAATTCCATTAAGACAAGAAAGCATGAAGTCATCAATAGGCACGCTAGGGTACATTATTGTCTCTGTGGACAAGACTGTTGCATAAATTAGGCCTGGGACAAAATTGCCCAACAGGTTACAAGGCAAATTTTCAGCATTTAATTCATAATTATGTGAAATGGTAGCAATTTCAGAACGGCCTATATATGTCATAGCATTTAACCCAGGAAAACTGGAGAATTCATCCATGTTAGGAACTTCATGCATGTTTCTCAAAGGCCTGATGGTCATTATTATGATCAACAGTAATCATTCCATCACTTGATGATATGGAGCTTTTCCAGTGTTTTCACAAGCTTGAGAATTAAAATCACAACAGTCAGATTCTCCAAGCAAAAATCCCTTTCAAGATTTCCATTTAGAAAGTGATTTGCTAGATAAAATACTTCTGTAGAAACGTCAAGGTTTTTTTCTATTTGATTATACAAAAAAAAAAGATTAAACTACACTGCACAACAAACCAACCGAAGTTGCTACAACTATACTATTTTATGTTCTGTTTTTTTTTTAATTCAGCCTCAATTTAAAAAAAAAAATCGGATTAACCCTATTATCGGATTAATCGGTTATTGGCCAGCATGGGCCAACCTAGTTATCATCATCGGTAAAATCCACTATCAGTCAACCTCTTATTTATTTATTTATTTATTTCTAAAGGCCCGTTCACACCAAGCACGATAAGATATAATTCTAAAATTCGTTCTCTTAAAGAATAACAGAGTTCACACCACAGCTATAACGATAAAGATATGAGGAGCGATAACATTGGGATCACTTTCAGAACGATTTTTTCCAGCTGTCCAACGATAAGACACCGACAACCAATCAGAATCCATTCTAATTTAAAGGTCTCGCGCATTTTAAAATGGCAGATGACATTGTTTATCGTCTAGGTGCAACAAAAAAAAATCCTCCATGTTTGACAAGTCAAACCCCCTTTTCAAGGATACGTTAAAAAAGATGGATATATGGAAAGTAATCGGTTGTATCCTGGGAATAAACGGTGTGAAGTATTCACAATGAGATATTATGCAGTTTAGCATAGTGTTACAAAATTACCTCAGGTAGGCTATCCAGCGCTAGTTGACAACATTGCTGAAGTTGCAGTAAAAAAGGCGTTGTTGTATACATAAAGGTGTTGACTAGGCGATGTTTTTATCCCATCATTGACTTCGTCAGCTAAATCCACTGTTAGATATTACACTAGACTTGCTAGATTAGATTCACTGTTTAGATGCACTCCCAACTCCTCTCGACTTTTAAGGATATTGTGGTGTACCCCAAAGCACCTGTTTTCTTTTGATATTTGTTTGTAACGTAGCAGCAGCCATCCAATTTCGCTACTTTGAAACCGCAGCGCAGGTGCGAGACCGCTATCGTCGTTGGTGTGGATGCATATTTAGTTATCTTTATCATTATCGTGCTTAGTGTGAACTACTTACTCTATATAAAACTATTGATTATAGGTTACTGAAAAGAATCAATTTATAAACCGTTTTTATATTGCATGTAGTTATGGGACGAGTGATTCATTCATAGTTAAGCGAGGAAGAAACATTTTTTAAGAAGTAAACAAAAGAAATGTGTCAACTAGATTGAGTGATTTAGAGTGATAAATATACCAATACATAGGTGTAATGTTACAAGGACTAAATGTTTAAATAGCTAATTCAAGAAAAGACTACATGAAGAAAAGCACTACAAGTGTAAAACCACAGTCCACATAAGCCGAGAAACTATAGACAACCACATCCCGGTGACAATGCAAACAAAGACACACATCCAGGGCAGGAATCTAAATAAACAGATAGAAATCTCTGAGACAGAAACAAATTTCATTTCCTGGAGCAAGCCACCTGTCCTTGGCACAGAGAAAAAAGTTCACAGAGTAAGAGCCATAAAGCCAGAATAAATATAGTTGCCATCTAAACTACATTCTTTTAACTTTGTTTTGTTTTTATGCTACTTTTTTTAATGAAATACATTTATATTAAATATCGAAACCACCTAAAACAAAGGCCACATGTACATTGTCACACAATTTTCACTGATACTCAGTAGAGCTTGGATTTTGTTGCATCCATGTAACAATGAAAATACATAAGTACATTTTTTTTTACATACATGCATGCAATTTAGGTCAAATCTGTAACATATATGATATCTAATCATCCTACATATCTTTATCTTATACACCCCACTTATGTCACTACAGAACAAATAGTTCACTAAAAGGTTCTAACATGTGTATCATGAAAGAAAGTATTTTAACACCGAAAATTACACATTTCACCTTTAAGGAACCAACCGGGTCTAGATGTGGAACGTGACACACTGACAGCCTGATTATCGGGGTTGTTTTCTTGGCGGCTGAGAGAAGCTCATTAGTTTGCCAACAAAAGCTTTAAAAGCAGAGTGTGTGTGGGGGCCAGGTTAGATCTCGCTCACTGCTGGGACAGATGAATGACTAGTGGAAAGAAATCCAGACCCTCTACATAGGACATTTCCCTAGCACATAGTAGTTTATCAGTACATTAGCAATAACAGATTGCTGTCTGGTAAGAGGCAGCGGCAGGTTGTGATAAAAAAACTTACAACATGAAGTCCTGCTCCCAGCATGGCTGGTCTCCCCGCACAGTGATGGTGGTACTCTTCACATTTTGCACTTTCAGCGTCACATAGGCGTTGAATTTATCTAGAAATAAAGCAGAAAATGCATGTTTATATACAGTTTTTTTATGGAAATAATTAGTGGTGTTTGCAAAGTAATTAATGAAATTGGAACCATACGTATATTAAGACCACAGTGAAATTTTAAGGCTGTGACACACCAAGGCGACTGTGTCAGGGACAAAAAGCCCTTTTGCGCTTGAAGCAAAGACTACGATGACTGTCAACTAGCATGTGTATTCTGAATATAACGGTCTATATCGACACAGGTATCGAGTGTCTACATTCATCATTCAAAAAGAGAAAATTCAAGGCCTGCTGAGGTAAAAATGTAAACAAAGCTGTGTGCTTCCAATTTGAATATGAATCATGATGATTACTTCCTTCATTCCAGGCAGCTAATGTTGTTATGAAAATATTTGCGTATTGGAATGCTCCGGAAAGATGATGTAAAATTAAAACAGCTGTCTGTTTTCGTTTTTTTCTTTTGCTCGCTTTTATCATTTGCGCTTTTTTGGCTTGTTCGCTAAACTAAACAGCCAATCTGAGTGATCTCTCTCACCCATGGTCCAGGTATGAGGCTTATAGTCCATGTTTATGATCTATGAGGACATCTGCAGTATATGTTAGTTTACTGCTAAACATCAACAAATTAACTATAAGCAGATAAATGAATATAAAACTTACAGTTAAAAATGAAATTCTCCTCAGGTAAAATAAGAGATGTTCCGATACCCTTTTTCTCTGGACTCAGGGTATCGACCGATACCGAGTACGGTGTGCATCTCATACTAGCCCTGTATGAATTGATAGAATTATTTTATGGTGTGCTTCAGACTTATCCACCTAATAAAACATGAACAGTGAACTAGAGTATGTTTATTATCTGACATACATTTCAAAGCAATATATTATTTATTTTTATATAAGAATAAGTTTTTATATTTTTATATTATAAGAATAAGTACTTAAAATGCAGCCACACATCTAATACTGTAAACTGAAAAAGGTATTTTAGATTTACAATATAACTGTAAAAAAGGGCAACAAATACATCTAAGAATCTAAAAAAAAAGATCAATTAATAATATGAAAATAACCTCTTTATAGACCATTTTGCAAGATGTAAACAACACTGGTCCAGAAACACTTCCTGTTTCAGTTTGTAACTGTTTTCTTTATTTCACATGTAAAGAAAACATCTTAAAGATGTCGTTTAACTTTTTGATTCAGTTTTACATGTTCTGTTGGTTGTATTTTATCCCAGCTTTTATGTAGTGTTAAAAAACTGAAACAGGAAGTGCTTCTGGACCAGTGTTGTTTACATCTTGCAAAATGGTCTATATATAAATACACACACATGCTTGTATATATCTAAGAAATATTTTCATGAACATACTATATATAGATTTATATATAATTTATATTATACATAAATATAAATACTTATATATATATATATATATATATATATATATATATAATATTTTTTCCTAAATGCATGTGTGTGTATTTATATATATATAAAAAATAATTATACACAGTGCACCCACATATATTATGTAAACACAAACTTTCATTTTGGATGCGATTAATTGCGATTAATCATTTGACAGCCCTAGAATGAAGCTTCCAGAGATTGCTGATTCTGGCACGGCTCATCCTTCTCTGCACTTGCCATTGTGTACTACTTTGTACAAGATGGCCACGACTTGACTAGAATGAGGGAGCGCATAAATATGTGCTCATAATTCAACTAACATGAGGGAACAAATTAGTACAACGTGCATGGTCACGATCTAAAGTCCAACGGTAGTCAATGTATCCCTTAAACTCATCTTTGATCACCAAAATTAAATTTTCTTCTGAAAAACAAATGTCTTCATGCCAAATAGGTTAAATGTAACTCTACACCTTTGCTTCATTTAGTATACAAGGACCTCTTTCAATAACCTAGCGGTTGTAGCAATTACTGCAAGAATATTTTGCAAACAAAAGCAAAAAATAACAGTAACAGTATTGTACTTCTAAAGTAACAGTATTAACGAATTATAATTACTTAGTAGGCTATATGTGCACATGCTGGTTGGTCGAGTTTGCCTGGGAATCCCGGAGCACATGTGGCAGGACTGTGACTAAATAAAGCCTGAACAATAATGCTGTAGTGCTGAGTGAGAGTAAAGATTAGTGTGATTCCCCTCCCCCAACACCAATGAGAGACAGACAAAGCCCTGACCTCCGTAATCTCACATCAGATCCTCAACAGAGTTGAAAAAGCATCACTTTAGCATCATTTCTTTGGGAATTTCTGCCTCACATAGAATAATGTGCCACAAAGTGAAGCAAGCATCCTTACAACCATTGCAGCCTTCAGATACAGTTAAGAGGGTCTGCAGGGGTCTTTAGTGTGATATCATTTCCTGCTTTGTATGTTTTTCTGCATTCTTCTGAATGTTGCTTGCACCACATGACTTTGATTTGACTTGGAAAAACTTCCATTATTATTGTTAAATAACAAAAATTTCTGAAATTAAAATAATCATAGAAGAGTAAGTGTATATATGAATAGCATACGTAATGTATTACAAAAAATGTGTGATGTAATTGACTCAAGTAAAGCATGCATATACGGAATATTTTCAAGTCAAATTCATGGACGGTCCTTCATACGCATGCAAAAAAAACATGCACGCAAACACACAAATACACACTAGTGTTGACTGCAGAAGGATTACTAGTGACATAACCAACACTTCATTTCCTGTTTGCCAGCGATGGGGGCCGGCCAACACCTGCCCGATGATACACTGTGCCAGTGTGCCCGTGCCGCCCACTGCTCTCCTCCCACCCTAATAGACATCTAAGCATTCAGGGAGCTGACACAATATTATTGGGACGCATTACATGACACCTGCACTGTAAAAAAATATTGTTGGTTTAACTTAAATGAAGTAACTTGGTTGCCTTAAAATTTTAAGTTCATTAGAATGGAAAAATTGAGTTAATACAATGAAGGAGGCTGATTTAATCATCAGAAACTCCAAACACTATGTTATCTGAACCACATAAATTATTTAAGTTGATCTGACAAAAGAAAAAAAATGTTGTGATTACAAATCATAAAAATATTTTTTTACAATGTGCTATATCTTAAGTGTTAAGTTTGTCTGGAAAAGTGTCAAATAATGTTCGATTGTCTTATTGACCATTGTTTTTAACAGTGAAGTCCATAACAACTTCTTAAATATTTCACAAAATCTGCAAGATGCCCATTTATTTAATTTTTGTACACGTAATTTAAAAAAAAAAAATGACTACCATATTTATAATAATTGAGATAATAAAAATCTAAGAGTGTAATCCTATTAAATGCTGTTGTTATTATTATCATATTTTATTGTCAGTTGAAAGCACTAATGATGTATTGTATCTATTACTTTTATTAAAGCACAGCTTGATATCTTTATGTCAATAGGGCTAGCTCATGAGAAGAGTGGAAGGGACGTCAGCTGTTAAAACAGATTTGATAAACTTTGGTGCTTCACAGTATTTGTTTCCTTGTTTCAACAGGTTTCCACAGAGACAAAGAGAAACAGGCCTCTCCGCAAGAACAAAATGTAATACACACCATTCGACACAGCAGGGGTCAAAAATAACATCCAATCCATTCACAAAGATAAGAAAGAGTCCACATCAAATAATAAATAAATGACCTCATTTCATTTCTAGATACACGTTCCTTGTCTTATTATGCGTAACTCGGTAGTGCATTCAGTTATTCCAAACGAAAATTACCCTATTATACTTTTTTTTTAGGCATTAGCTTTCTTGTAGTGTGTAATATAGCTGTTTGTGAACTTAAAAGGTCAGCGAAGTTTGAAAGATTAAAGTGCAGAAGTTATTGTCCCCCAAAAGAAAGAACCGATTCTGAACTGCCTGAAACCGGTCGACAGTAATTCCAGTCTTACTTCCTGCTTAAACCTATGTAGGTTTGTAAAGAATTTGCATAAATGGAAGCCTCTGGTCTCCATTTGCTACCTGCAAGCAACGGCTTTTGACTTCAAACTCTGTAGTTGTAGCTGAAGCCTTGAAGTAGGTTTGTGTTGTTGCTCTATGAAAGCAAATCCACTTTACATGCACTTCTAAAGGATGATGACTTGGGCTACTATATACGGTAAAACTTATGCCATCGTATAGCTGAAAGTCAAATACGGTAATGGGTGTTAAGTTTCCGACACACGCTGTAAGCGTAAGACAAATCACAACAGACTGGGTCATCTAACCAATCATATTTGAGCAGACCAATCGCAACAGATTGCACTGTCTGACCAATCAGAGCAGAGTAGACCAATCACAACAGACTGGGCCATATGACCAATCAGAGCTGAGTAGACCAATCACAACAGACTGGGCCATCTGACCAATCAGAGCAGAGGAAGGTTTAGAGAAACTGAATTCTGAATAAAAACCATTTCAGACACTGTGCGAAAAGAATTGATGCTGCAAACTATGTAATGAGATTTAAATTAAGAAAAGTTTGTTTTAGAGCAATGATTGATTGACAGATGAGGTGAGAAGATGACTTTCTGGTAGTTTAAGGCCCTGTTTACACGAGAACGCTCGCGGGTGAAAACGTAAAATATTTTATCGATGGCGTTTTTGAGGCTTAAAAACGCAAAAAAGTGAAATCACCCTCCAGAGTGGAAATCTTAAAAACCCTCCACCGCCGCGTTCCTATGTAAAGGGTAAAAACGCCAAAGTCTGCTTGACAGTGTAGGTTGTACGTAGGCGCATGGACTTGGTGTTGTAGTTTGCACTCTTAGCCGCCTGTAGTGCATACTACATTGAATTTCACACACTTTTGCGTCACCATTTGCACGCGGATTTCCCACACAAAACGCTCGTCTAAACGCAGAATAAAAAGTGATAACGCAACGCCACTTTTGCGTTTTCTCTTCAGAATCGTTTCCGTGTAAACATAGCCTTAGGGTCACTACATCTAGCACAGCAATGCAAACGAAATAATGAGCAAAATTAAAAAAAAATAATTGTTCTCATCATGATGATGTTTTTAATTAAAAAAAGCAGTGAACTGCCAGAGAACTTAAATCTAAGCTTTCGCTCTAACCAGGTGGACACTGGGGTTAACAGGAACTAATCAATAAGCATCTCAAGAGACAAAACTATAACATTATGCATCACACCTGGGCGGATTAGCAGAGAGCTGCTTTTCATTCAGATGCCAATTATGGATTCAGCACTTCTCCTGATTATCCATTATGTCAGGTAGCGTAGGAGAGAGTGAGGTGGGGAAAAGCTACAGATGAAGCGCATATCAAGTGAGTAAAACTGTAAACTTAAAATCATATTAGTCCCACATAGCCAGACTTTTGATGATTAGGATAAAGTCCAGGCCAAGAACACTTCTGGTCTGTCTCACTAACAATGAGTTTGTTTTGGTTTTATGTGGCTAAATTGTCTGAAATACCTGATATTACAATAAATAATGGTTGGGAAAAAAATATCTCAATACAAAACACAAATTAGCAGGAAATGGTCTAGACTTCTAGAATTTCTGTACATCCAAATGTGACATATATGTATCTAGTTTATTTGCTACTATGTGAACAAACAAAACCCCTACTACTTTCATAAAAATGTTAACTACATCTGTCTGAAGTGTCATGGGAACATGATGGTTTACCGTTTCTTCATGACTGCACCACGTCATCATTCATTATTGACTCCAGTTGAGTTTTCCAATAAATTAGTTAAAGGCAGCGTACAATCGAGAGCTGACATTTCCGTTTCACTATCCTGATGAATCTTGTATGAGGTTTGGGATGGATTTGCAGGCTGTATGCAGCTTCACATGAGGGATTCTTGTACTGTATGTGTACAGTTTTTGCAGTTATGCTACGTCAACAAAGAGTTTCTGCTGAACAGTGGTGGACTGAGGAAAAATCCTTCATCGAGTTATGGTTTATGTAATGAGGAAATATATCAATTTTTTCACAGATAGGTGTACAATTCATCTGATGGTGTCATTATTAATGCCTCCATCATCATATATGACTTAATGTATTGGATTTATTTAAATCCAATTTAAAATTTATTTTTAAAAAGAGATTTCCTCATGACAAGAATGTGTAAAATAAAATGTTACTGCTTTTTGTCTTCACTAAATCACACATTTTTATGAAGGGCGAAAACACTTCCATGTATGTTCCATTCGCTTAGTTAATATGAGGTAATAATTAAAACTGCACAAATAATAATTCTAAAAGAATTATTGATACATGCTGATTAAAACTCTTATTTCCTTCTTTATTTCCTTAACATACATTCCTGGAATTAATGTACATTGTTTTTGTGTTCTGTTCTGCCAGCAAGTTGAAGTCCAGCAAGTTCTGTCTAATATAGGTTACACATTGACAAATTAGAATCAGGATAATCCTTACTCTGGCCGAACAAACTTAGTAGTTTTAGAGAGGTAAAGTAAAGTAAACACTCCAGTGATGGAACACAAAAGAGCCACCTGTCACAGACAGACAGAGGCCCACAGGCCTATCCTCAAGAGACTGTTTACTATCTGACACAATAGAGCCAGTGACACAGTATTGCAGTCTGACATGTGCCGAGCTGTATGTTTGTTTAAGTGATGGCGCGGAGCGATTGTGGCATTCAGGATCTGTTGTGATTGAGTTAAGAGCATTCAAGGGTCTCAGAGGGAGTGGGCTCATCGGTTCAGATAAACCAGGCTTTTGTGCTTTTATTATCCCACAGGGACAGACTATATGTGGAAATGATTAGTGCAGAATTAAAAGGAAATGAGATGCAAACAATATTTTTTTTTACTTGTACTCAAACTTAATCTCAAAATGGCTAAAAATTACTATGTTATTAATCATGTTTTTTATGGAACACAAGATATTTTGAAAAATGACTGAAAAAGTGTGTCTTTCCTGTTTACACTTCTGGGCTTGGGGGTCTATATGACCCTAACAATTGATTGAGTAATTGTACAAAAAATAAACATTTTTAATCATACAAATAATATATATATTTTTTTGTTTACTTCTCATCTATTCATTAATGCTGTGTTTTTGGAGATATAAAGTACTTTTGTATCTATATACCACACAATTCCTCAACTACATGTCAACTATTATGTCTCCGCTTGTTTGAGACCCCAAGCTAATTTGCACTGCTCTCAGTCCATTGCGTTAGTCATAATGGAAATGAACTGCTGTGTCTATGTTCTTTACCCTGCACATTGTCAGTAGATCACAAGCAGAACTTTCCACTCCTATCTGCACTATAATGGGATTGGGGTTCTCAACTTCTCACAGTAATTTGCATTGTTTCGAAAATCAGAGCGAAAAACATTTTTCAAAAACATTTTCTCTGTCCACAGAATGTGCAGGTATCCAAAGGGTACCGGGGTACCTCAGGGATCGTTTTTTGGACACATCCTATTCTCCATATAAATTACAGGTTTCACCTACCATTGCTTACTGATAACACACAGCTCTACTTTTTTTTAATTTTAACCAGATTTCATTTTTAACCCACTGTAGCTGCACTGATCTCTGGATGGTGGACATCTCAGCATGGATAAAAGAGCATCACCTGCAACTCAACTTAGCAAAGACAAAGCTTCTTGTTTTCCCAGCCACTCCAACTGTGCAGCGCAATTTCGGTACAGTTTCACCATCCAACTAGATCCATCAGCAATAATCCCATCATGTTCAGCCAGGGTAATCTTTGATGACCAGCTGACCTTGAAAGACCACATTGCAGCAACAAAACCATCATGTAAGTTTTGCACTGCACAACATTAGGAAGATCAGCCCCTTCCTAAACAAGCATGAAGATCAACTTCTCATCCAGGCCCTTGAATACTTTAATGCTCTTCTGGCTGGACTTCCAACATGTGCAATCAAACCAATTCTTAAATAAATCCAAGAGAGCCCGCGTCACTCTCCGTTTATCTCTCTACGATGACTTCCCTTTGCATTTTGCATCAAGTTCAAGACATTAGTGCTTGTCTACAGGAGACTCCTACCTTACGAGTCTACATAGGATAGTCCCTCCAGGAGCCTGTGGTTGGTGAGTGAGCAGTGCCTTGGGTTGGTACCATCACATAGAGGCACAAAATCACGCTTTCATTCACGGTTCCTTCCTGGTGGAATGATCTTCCCAACACTATTTGGGCAATTGATGAATCTCTGACAACATTCAAGAAACTCACACTTACAGTAACTGCCTCCTGCAGAAAAAAAAGCAACTAAACTTTCACTACTCCTTAGTCCTTCTCTGTTCTACCTTGTACTATTCTGAACAATGTTTGTATTGCTGACACTTTACAAACATAGCATGTTGTATTCCTCATTCGTGAATCGCTTTGGATAAAAGCGTCTGCTAAATGAATAAATGCAAATAGAACAATATGAGGGTGAGTTAATGATGACAGAAGTTTCATTTCAGTGGTGAACAACCCTTTTAAGAGTTCATTTCAGATCCAAAACATTGCCCAAGGGCCATATATCGTTCAATTTGCATACAAGTTTGGAGATTCACACCTCCCTTAAACTCTAGCCAACATTCGTACTGTGCAAAAAATATGAATGTGAGGTGTGAGGAATCCCGTTATGACCCAATACAATCCAAAAGCTGATGCAGAGCAGTACTGTCCTGGGGCACAGTATTCTGGCTTCGGTGATCCATGTGTAGGCCAACTGTGTGAGGATTTGCAGATGAGGAGGGTGTGGGGATTTGGGCTTAACCTACACTGATCTACACACTAGCTCACAAGCTACAAGCTCTGGGATTCAGACAAGATGCATAACAGAAGCACAGACTCAATCATCAAATGAACCCCTGAACCTTCATGACCCCACAATGACAGGAATCAAAGTGTTTTCTTCAAGGACATCAAATAAATGATACAGTATGATGTGAAATACCACAAGCAGAGGAGTGTTGTATTAGGCTAGATTGCACACCATAAAAGAAAGTGTAAAACCAAAAACAGTGTCACACTGTCCAAAAATCCCCAACGCAAGAAGATTTACATACGATTTACATGGCCCAGATAAAAGCAAATATTGTTTTTACATAATTCTGAATTGCATTTAGAAGAACGTGTAAGAATTTGCTTACCTGGAGGTCCTTGGAATTTGGCTTTCTTAACTGGAAAGAAAAAGAAGAAGAAAAAAAAGGTCAGAAAGACTAAATAATTACATTATTATTTCATGAAAAGAGTTACATATTATACATCAGCACAAGTCTAGGTAAAAAACATGAATGGGATCAGTCCTATTTAAACCTGTATGACTGTTTCTTCTGCAGAACACAAAATAAGATATTGGTAAAAGTTTTGTGAAATGTGAGACCACAAACCTGATGATAATTATTATAGATTTAACAGTTTTGTTCCTATCACAAACAACCAGAGTCCTGACTGTGAACACGGGAAATCTCACAAAATTTCTCACGGCCAAACTTTACTTCAGAGTAAACAAACATGGTGGACGACGACGGGCAATAAGAAAAGGCGATAATTAGACTGTCGCGATAACCGCAATAGTACCGTGCTTCTGACAAGTAAACTGCAGAGGACTGCACGTAACCGCAGCAACCGCGATAATGATGTTTTTTTTAAAAGGTTATACCCTTCTTGTTTTGAACTTCTGTTACCCATGCGAAGCATTGCTGCTCAGCTAAGTCTTGAAAAGTGGAACTAAAAGTTAAAAATAATTAACATCTTGTTTCATTACATCTCTTTTAATGAATCAGCTTTTTGAACGTGTTCATTGTATTGTATGAACGGTTTAACTCACTCAAAGTCCGTTGTCATAACAATATGCGCGCTGAGTGAAAGCCTTTCAATGCGCATATAGATGCGGTTTAGTTTCGGTAACATTGGTTCCTGAAAATGTCCCCGTTTTTGTCCACATCGTAAACTTTATTTATATATCAACAAATACATATAAATGAAATAAATAAATGGCGGTAATACCGCATATCCATAACCGCGACAGACCTAGCGATATTAGTGTTTAGACAGTTTTTTACAGATAATTCCAGAAAAAAAAGGTTTGGATGAAGTCATGGAGTTTGTTATACTCCATCTATCATCAGCTTGCTTTCTGATTGGATAATATCGTTTCGTTCCATCCATGACACATCCTACAGAGCAAGCAAGCATTTGGTCCTCAGGGCTCCCCCCACACAGCAGGACAAAAAAGGTAAAAAAAAAAAATATATATATATATGCAACAACAACGACAAAAAAAGTTATATATAAACGTCACCACTAGGGTAACATCACCTAGCTGGCCAACATACAAGGTATACTTAATGGATTGGCTATCTTGGATATATTTGATCATAAAAAAGAGTCTAAATGCTTTCCAAGATAAATATGAGACTAAAATCTGACAGTTTAAAGGAGGTGGTTTGAGTCCAAGTGAAGGTGTAGTTATTGCAAGATAGATTTGTGATAGTCTTTGAAGAATTTGTTAGAATGTGCTGAAAATTATAAGCTAATCTGAAATTGTCATTGTTTTCCAACAACAAAGGCAAAGGTAAAACCTTTTACCTTAAAAAAAAATCATATTGCTGAGCCCTTGCGCATTCAGTGTTTTGAAATGAGAAAATTTAGAAAACAAAAGCCACATTTTGAACAATACTCCTGTTTCCATGTAAGACTCAGCCCACAGCCATATAAAAACGGTTATGGGATTGAGCTGTGATTTAGAGCAGATTACTTCTGATCGCTGCTTGAGCCCCGTGTGCTGTCCGTGGCTGGGTGGACATGCCAGATGGATGCTGCGATTGGATGGCGGGCTGCGAGACATCACAGTGGATTACTAACGTGTATTGCAAACTCTCGCTGGATATCTGATGAGACGTACATGTAGCGCACACAAAAAATACAAGCCTCGAGGGACATAATGATGTTGAGATTAAGATTAAGAAATAAAGGTTAACAACGCAATGAGGAACATGCAAGCAAGAAATAGAGTTCCATATGAGTCCATTTCCCAGAAAGCAAATCTAACAATCACCATTCTGTGTTTTTTTTTTTTCTGTTTGGAGTTCTATAAGACGAAGGAGAACCGTGTGTGTGACTAGTTTCCACATTTCTAACTGAGAGGAAACACATTAGGTTTTATTAAAGCCCTAGGGTATGGGTCACCGTGTCAGTGGAAACTCATCGCTCTTTACTGCGGGGTGCTAACGGAAACCGATGCATGACTTTCGATTCAAGCCTTCCTGAGATGCTGTTTAGATAGGGGGGCGGTTGGACAGGAACTTCCTGAGAGTCTCCTTTGTGGAAAGCTAGTTTGCCCAATCTCCTCGAGTTCATTCCTGAATGTACTTCGGCTTGTGAACTACCAGTTACTCTAGAAAAGAAAACCTGTTTAAATCCAGTCTGGTCATCTGAAAAGAGGCCATAATTGTTTGAAGACCAACTAGAGACCAACTAAGACCAGCAAAATAGCTTAGGCTGGTTAAAAAAAACAAAAAAACAAGTGGCACAGTTTTCTACTACACACAAATTGCAGCAAATAGCAATACACAGTGTAAACAGCAGCACAGTATTAATTTTCACTAAGTGTAAATAGTTGTTAAATGTTATTTATACTTAGTGCAAATAGTGGTAGATACTATTTGCACCTCAATGTATTGTAGTATATTACAAAACGGTATGCAATTATAACATAATCAGTGTATCATATTATATTTATTGAAATCATAAATGTATGCTACTTTATTGGGACATTACTTGTACTTGATATTACTTACATGTTAAATGCTATTACCACAATTAAATACCCTTTATAGGACCTTAAATAAAGCTGGACTCGAACCCGGACACCAGACACCACTTAACTTAGTGTGTCTTCTTGACACTAAGCAGGTTTGGTTTGATTAAAACTAATCCTGGTACGATTGCTCTGTTACTGCGGTTCATTTGAATAAGTGTGAACGCTGCCATGTGAACCCTGGTGTCAAACAAATGGGCCGAGACCGCTGAAAAGATGGGTCTCGCTCCGCTTCCAAACGAACTCTGATGCGGTTCAACTGAAATATGGACGCAACACGGGTCAAAGTCATGTAGACGAAACAAAAAGAGGACGTGATGTGACCAGATGCGACCAGAAAAAGGACAGAATGCTGAAGCCTGTTTTAAGTCATCATGTTCGCGTTACAATTCAGTACAGGCGTCCGAAACACTGTTTGTGTGCAATGGATGAATTCCTGCTGTTGTTTTGACTCATTTACATATTTAATAAACTCTTCATGGGTTCTCAGGTTCTGGAAGACCACTAAGCGAAACAGGACTAAATGTATTATTTTCTTTTTTTGGTCTGGACGAAAATAACCCACTTACACTGCATCTGCCCGTCACCGCTTCTGTTGTCAAGAGGATTTCTTTTGTGTTTTTGTCTGGCTCAACCAGACAATGGTGGGCAGAGTTAGCGTAAATAGGAATTTGAGAAAAGAAAAAAAAAACATAATTTTTTTGGGACCAAAACATTTACATTTGACATAAAACAGCAAAAGGGTGAGCCTAACAGTAGTGATCAACCAATTTGTGGTTTTCAATATCCGATACCTAGAGAACAGGGTGGCAAATTGCTCATATAAATAGTGATTTAAAAATAGGCTTCTAGTTTATGACAGCAAATGAGATGTACATAAAATTGCTGAAATTAATTGAACATTTATTTAAAACTATTTACTGAAAATTTACTAAAAGACATCATGTGCTTGAGATGTCTGCAGCTTCTCAATCTCTATAAAGTGACCAGACAAACACTGGAGGAAAGCAAGAAGTACAGTGAGTGAAGCAGGAAGTGGAATCGGTGCGTCACACAGTGTATGGTTTACTTTCGACCCCGCAGCCAGCGAGGATGATGCTGGATGACTGGACGGAGAGAGCAACAGATGGCCAGAGGATTACATTTGCAATCCCCCCACTCACTTCAGTGTGAGGACTCACCGCCAGACGCACACTCACTCACTCACTACCTTCAGAGCACAACCATTATATTAAAGAGTTCAATTATAATATTTAAATCTTGCATTGTTCTCTCCCGAGGAAGGTTTCTTCTGTCATTTAAAATGAAACATTTTGTATTTTTTGCTCTTGGGTTTTAGTGGTCATGATTAGGAGCAAAAGCTAAACTATTTTTACATTTACCTGATTTCAAAAGATGACAGATATGACCCTTTTATGAATTATTATATGAATTTATTATTTATTTATGAATATATTATTAATTACAATACAGGCAGGTATTGTATTGTTGTATTATTCTCTGGAGTTTGTTCCCACCATGGAATAAAAAAAAAATAGAAAAGGGTCTGGTAAAACTTTTTCTCAGAATTGCGAGTTATAAAAACAATATTCTGAGAGAAAATGTCAGCTCACAGTTATGACATTTTCCTTGCAATTGCCAGTTTATATTTCACAATTCTGACTTCAACTTGCAAGGGCAAGTTTATATCTCAGAAGATTGAATTGTTCGATTTAAGCTCAATTGTAGCAAAAGTTTGCTAAAACGATGCCCAAATAGCTATTTGGCTAATAAAACAACAGCCTACAGCCTAGGTGACATCAGAGACAAAAATCTAAAATCTAAATTATTTTGGGAGAAAAAAAACAAGATTTAAATTTGAGGAGATAAAAACAGAGCACAAAATAACAAAAAAAAAAGTTTATATATATATATATATATATATATATATATATATGTATGTATGTGTGTGTGTGTGTCTTAAAGTTAGTGAAGCATCAATCAATATCAATACAGATTAATTGTTCATACGACAATGTGTAGTTGAAGACACATTTTACATTTTTAATAAAATAAAAACATTAAAAAAACACATATAACGATGATTTATTCTGAGTCTTAAGTAATTCATTCTGAAAAGTGCTGAACAACAATATTTGTTAAATGATTCAAACGCACTAACATCAGGAGGATCCTTCCTTCCCACATCAGGGGGTCACAAGTAAGCAAGTGAATGCAGTAGAGATGTAAAACCCAGCCATGCATGCTTCATAAATACACACAATACATCAACAGAAGTGTGTAAAGCCATCTATTTAATCACTCTTATCTCTTTAATTAAACATAGTGGACACAGCAGATCAGCACCCCATATGACTCTAATAAAGACAATCTGATTAATGTCAGCAAACGTGACCGTTTATTCTGCAAAGCCACTAAAAACGGGTCTAGAGATCGGATCAAACCAAACGTAGGGCCATATGACCCCACACGGGCGCTCTTTGTGTCCATCTTGCGTGGATGCGTGGAGAGATCGCTCATTTGTGTGTGTAATCACATCACCATGGAGATGGACCTTTTGTCTGAACAGCAATAAATAAAGAAACAAAACCATGTTCCTGATGAAAGAGGTGGACGGTGAGTCAGGAAGGCCAGAGCACTTCTTAGGTTAGTCTAAACACAGGTAATTCATTACAGAGGACAATATTTGGGTGATGTCTACAGTTCTGCTCATACGTTTAGATAGCCCTTGCAGAAAATACAACCCAAAAGGGATAGTTCACCCAAAAATTCAGTCATCATTTCCTCACCATCAAGTTGAATGAGTTTTAATCAAGTTTCTTTTTTTCTGCTGAACACAAAACATGATATTTTGTAGAATGTCAGTAACCAAACAGACTTCCCCCATTGACTTCCATAGTATGGAAAAAAAAAAAAAAATCTTATGGAAGTCAATAGGGTCCATCAACTGTTTGGTTATACCGACATTCTACAAAATATAATCGTTTGCCTTCAGCAGAAGAATGAAATTCATACAGATTTGGAACAACTTGAGAGTGAGCAAATGATGACTGAATTTTCATTTTTTTAGTGTACCATCACTTTAAGAGGCAGGGTGTAAACTTTTTGAATTAGATGACCACCAAATTGTAGGCTTATTCTGTCTTTGGGGAAACATGTTCTGAAGAGAAGTTTTAATGAAATTTCTATGATCCCTCTATGTTTTTATTGTTATTATTATTCTTATTAACATTTTAGCATATTAGCTTACTAGCATATTCCTTGAGGATCATGTAAACTTATGAGCAGAACTATAAGTTCTGAAAGTTCAGGCCGCCCACCTGCACTAAATACAACAGAAGCTCCCTACCCAGTATCTACACTGAGAAGAGGATATCCAAGTTCACAATACTTTGTTCACTCGGTATGTCCTGTACTACTACTGAGTTAATGTGCTTCCAAACACTCAAATCCTCCTGTTCCAGATAAGTTTACAAGAAAGAACAAGGAAAGTACATCACAATAGAAAAATTTCAAACTGGTGATGCACCAACAAAGCCAAACGTTTGTGTGAGTAAAAGGTGTAATTTGTGAAATCTGAGGATATAAGTCTGTTGAGAAAAGGGTTGTGACATTTTATACCTTAAAAAGCTCTTGTGAGACACACGAAGGGATTTAATCACAGTCTGGTTCCTGCGCAAACATTTCCTTAGTCTCTCTGAATAATTGACTTGTTTGCAGATCCTCAGTGAATGCGTTTCTTATGCAAGTGTTTGTATCTGCGCAAATCTACTCGTCTCCACTGATTCTTTCTGTTTTAGGAATGTCTTCTGCAAATAAATCCTGTGGTGGCACCAAATCTAATCAAAAACCACACTATTCCTTTAGTCACCATGGGTCAAGTCAATAGGGCATGACATACAAATGGACAGTTCTTTTTTATGAAATATTGCTGTACGTATGTATTTATGCAAAGCCTTTTTTCAAAATGAAAGTGAATTCTTTAAGAATTCTAAAGATTCTTCTTAATCTTTAATCAAAATAACTTCACCTTCCTCTTGCAGTGACATCTCGGCATCCAAAAATCACATACTTCCGTAATATATAGAAGGCAAAAAAACAGTATGCGACCAAAAAAGTTGCTGCGTCCCAATTCACATACTATCCGTCTTAAATAGTATTCGAAAATAGAATTAGTAGGCCTACGTCCCAAATCGTACGTTGAAATAAGTGTTCCAAAGAGACCCGGATGGTCTGCTATATCTGATCAGAATCCGAAGTGCAGATCGATGCACACTCTAACTTTTGCTGATAATTTGCTCACCCCCATGTAATCCAAGATGTCCATGTCATTCTTTCTTCAGTCGAAAAGAAATTAAGGTTTTTGATGAAAACATTCTAGGATTTTCTCCATATAATTGACTTCAATGGGAACCAAACGGTTCAAGGTCCAAATGAGAGTTTCAGTGCAGCTTCAAAGGGCTTTAAACGACACCAGATGAATAAGGGTCTTATCTAGCAAAACGATTGGTCATTTCAAAAATAAATAAAAAAGTTTAAGTTTTAGAAGCACAAATGCTCGCCTTGCTCTGTTCTGTGATGAGCGTTTGTGACTCTCCTGTTCAATCAAAATGAACAAATCTTTTTTCGAGTCATGACTCGAAGGGTCCTAGATAAGACCCTTATTCATCGTCTGGTGTCGTTTAAAGCCCTTTGAAGCTGCACTGATGATACTTTGACGTTTTGTTTTACAACCAACAATGCACACACACAAACTCTAAAATGCCCTATATTTGTATGTATACTTTGTATGTCTTTTTTTTTTTTTAATAAATATAACTGCTTCAAAATTTTGCATTTTCACTATGAATGTGTGTAATTTCTTTGTAGAACAAAACGTCAAAGTATAGTCAAGTTATGTTTACCACAGGCTTTATTATAAACATAATAAAGAAAATCTCGAATGAACCAGCAGTTCATTCTCGTGTACTTTTTTTCTTGTGTACTGCAATTAGGTGCTACTGGACTTTAGTAGCCACTTAGTTAAACGCGTACAAACATTTTGGACATGAATTTGTAATTATGGACTCATTTTGTAAATGTACTTTCCATGTATACTTTATGACGTAATTTTTCGATATTATCAAGAACGTAATGCCAACGCTGTTTGTTTATAGTAGCCAGTTAGTTCCATGCTATTTTGTGTGTATACATAAGACAAACATGTATAAAGTTCAAAAAATGATATGTAATCGCAACTTGTAGACTTCAGCTGCTGTTATATGTACAGTATGGTTTTAACAGAGTTGCCACATGTAGGCTACACCTAAAGAAAACAATACACTGAGTAAACTAAGTTTTGTTAATAGATAAGCGGTTATTCATTATATCGATGAAACAATAACTTATAATATACAGTATTATTCACTCATTTATTCAGTTATATTAAATGTTCAATCAGGAAAAAACATATTTCAAAAGGTAACAAGCAGCAGTAGCATTTTCAAGTAACAGAATATCGAAATACTTAATGATAGAAACCTCCCTGAGTCCGTGTGTTTGGGGAGGTTCTGCTTGAATCTCGATTGCCGCTTTCTGGGTCTGATTCTGGCTCAAACTGGTAAGGTCGTATCGACACCATTATTTACATTTGACCGGAGCACATGCAACTTTCACCTGTAAAGGTAATGGGCATTAAGTTTCCGGACAACGTGCACTACAGTTTAGCCAATGACAACACACGGCCCAACTAACCAATCTGAGCTCATTGTCTGTTTCTGAGGGAGTGGTTCATAGAATCAGGAAGTCAACCGGTCGTTCAAATGACAGAGGAGAAAACGGCTTACAATATAGGTGAAAATTATGGAAAATAAGGCTTAAAAATATAAAAAAAAAAAAAAAAAAAAAAAACACCAAGACATGTTATGTTGCACCCCATAAACACAATCATTCGAAGGCAAACCACCCCTTTAAGCAGAGACACTTTCACCAAAGACAGCAAACAGCAAGGCAAGCATTGCCATTGAGTGCAGAAAAGAAAGAAAGGAAATGATGGAGATGTTGATCTGCAACTGGCCGGTGACCAAAGATAAAAGGAGAATGTGCATCTCTGAAAGAGTATAAGAGCAGACGACACACAGCGTTTCCGATCTGCTTTCTTTCAAGAGAGCCTGATGAGCCAGCATCCTTTACAAAATACTGCATACTAACAATAATTCAAATGGTCTTTAATTAATAGCTCAAATAAAAGATACATTCACACATGTATACATTTTATACAAATATAAACTATAACTGAGTTGTGTGGTCTTCAATTAATAACTAAATTAAATCAGAAAGATAATATAAATTATACATTTTCATTTTATTTCTATATTTTATAGATAAATTATAACATGTAAAATAGTAACATGTTATTTATTATTTTAATTTGATATGTTTCATTTAATTCACTGTGAAACAATTTTAATTGGGATCTAATGTATTATTATTTACTTATATTAATACTTAAGTTGTTACAGTAATATAAACATTTACATATATTAATATACATCTATATAAAAATAAATGTCATGCTATATTAAAATATTACCATACACTATATCCTAATTTTGCGTAAAATAATACAGTAATATCATATTAGGCTATATGCAGGTATCAGCTACATCTTTTTGCAATAAATTAAATGTATTGTTCATTTTCCACACTGTTAATATTTGTTCGTAAGTTATACAAAATATGTAATAATAATAAATAAATAAAAAGTTTACATAACATCGGAAAAAGTCTTATTAATATCTTACAATAGTTTTCGAAATCTATATTTATTGTTTTGGCTGCAGAGCTGTATTACATCATGACGACAAACAGCTGCTTCACTCAAGCTACATCATCACACCTACAGCAAACCTCAAATTATGTAATATTATAGGCCTAGTTCACAAAAACGCTCGCGCCTCTGAAGTTTTAAAGAAACAAAACACCTGCTGACTGCCTGCTGAGTGGATGACAGGTGCAAATACATGAAAACATGAAAGTTCGAAAACACATGTACAGCACTCACCTCTCACGCAGAGGAGAGACATGGCAACCCAAGTTTTTCCTCCTGGATAAATCCTGTCTGTATAATCGAAGTTCTCAGCTGTCCGGTGACATTTCAGATGATGTCACAAGTTGTTTCCTCGTCATGAGCGCACTTCTGAGGGTAAGTTAGATAAAGCACGGATGCTCGACGGAGTAACTCGGCACTATCCTACAGGTGACGCGTACTGACTCAAATGTCCCATCGCCATGACCAAATTGAATGTGTAGAAACTCACAGGATAAGAGGCGGGGCTTGCAGGGATTTTAAAGTCGTCAGAGTTGCCCCTGGCCCAGAGGGCGGGGTTTTCTGGACTTGTTGACCAATGGATGAGGTAATGGGTGTGACTTATGGCTGCACCGAGTGAAGGAACAGGTGTGACGCTGGCCTACGCAACGATTCTACTTTATCAGTTATATTGTGGAGTGAGATTCAGAATTTATCAATGAAAATATTCAGTGCTTAAGACATCTCTCACTTTTATGGGATTGGCTTCACTAATATACTTTTCAAGAGGATGAAAAGTAGGCTACTTAAATTAAATTAAATTAATTTGATTCTATTTTTTTAACTAAATTTAACATTCTTAAATGTAGCTTTAATGATAAATAACTGACAGAAGTTTTCTTTAAAGTTTTACTTTCTAAGTACATAGAATGTAGAAACTATATAGGCCTAAAGCTATAAAGACTTTAAAAGTTTGTGAGCTATTCAAAGTATTTGTTTGATATCTGATTTATATTGATTTTTATATTTATATTGATAACCTGCTGCCATTTCTTTCTTTCTTTCTTTCTTTCTTTCTTTCTTTCTTTCTTTCTTTCTTTCTTTCTTTCTTTCTTTCTTTAAGTTGCATTTTCCCTCTTTTCTCTTGTTTCCTTATTTTTTTTTATTTCTGTATAAATAATTGTATTATGTTCCAGTAGTTTTGCATCACTGATATACTATTAGTTTATATTAATATTTTAAATCAGTTTTTTTATTATTTTCCTTTTTATTTTTATTTAGTTACATTTTTAGTAATTTTGTTGTTTAATGCCAATTTATTTGTTTAAAAAAAATATATTGTTTTTATTCATTTTTATTTTATTTTAGTTGTTTTAGAACAGGACGTAGAAAGAAATATTACATCCAATGGACCTTTTAGCCTAGGAGGCATTTATCCACATTGCACCCCAGAGAAGTTATATTGCCATATCTGCAAATTCATCTAAAAGCTGAATTAAAATGACTGCCCACTAGTGGCTGCATTTTGAAATACACATAAAATAATAAGAAGAAGAAGAAGAAGAAGAAGAAGAAGAAGAAGAAGAAGAAGAAGAAGAAGAAGAAGAAGAAGAAGAAGAAGAAGAAGAAGAAGAAGAAGAAGAAGAAGAAGAAGAAGAAGAAGACATCCCTTGAAACATTCATAAACATACTGGTGTACACAATTAAACGTTATAATTTATTTGTAATATTTCACTCAACGTTCAGCCGTAGGCAGTAAAAGAAAGCGTTCAGCTCACTGATCTATAATGTCATTCTATATAGATCACTGGTTCAGCTACAGACATCAAGGACGTATTCCCGGAACCATATATTAAAAGCATTTGTTTCCCTCACAGACCCGGATGTTTGTAATTGACGTACGCTCGTGATGTTGTAACTTTGATTTCCGCAGCTGTAAGAGGGTCACGTTTGTAGTGTAAGCTCAGGAAGAGTTCATTCATTTGGTATAGACATCTTCAACATCTGTTTGAACACAGGGTGAAAATGCTGAGGACGGTGGTGTGTCGGGCAGGAAGCGGCCTTTTAAAGGTAACATACGTGCACTGTTGGTCTGTTGGACTGTCACTTCACTGCTTGACACTTCAGCTGAATTCTGTCTTGAAGTTCATTTCGAAATTAAATCGATATAAACGAGTTCGTTCTGGCACGTTTTCTTTCGAGATAATATTCTAAATATTTATATATTTAGAATACATAATTATACTAAATATTTTTATATAATCATGGCGTATGTCATGTCATGATTATGAAGGTGTCATGTTAGTCTTATGCACACCCCTTCAAGTAAAGTGTTCCCAAAAGTTCTATATTGTACCGTTCAAAAGTTTGGAAACTATTTTTTAGTGTTTCTGTTTTCTCCATGCTCATCAAGCCTACATTTGATCAAATACAGAAAAAAAAAACTGTAACATTGCGAAATCTTGTATTTTAATATACTTGTGAATTTCAGCTTTGATCTCCAGCCTTCAGTGTCACATGATCCTTCAGAAATCATTTTATTGATTCTGACTTTATATATATATATATGTGTGTGTGTGTGTGTGTGTATTTAATTATCATATTTTTGAATTTATGCTAAAATAAATGTTATATATATATATATATATATATATATATATATATATATATATTTTGCTGTGTAGTTTGCTTTCATATACTTCATCTGGTTGCATTCTCTCTTCTGTGAACAGCATTCGCGTCAAACAGTGCCTGTGTTGTGGGGGACTCGAGCTCAACAGCGATGGGCCTCCAGCCTTCCCATGAACACTGTGGTTCTGTTCGTTCCCCAGCAGGAGGCTTGGGTAGTGGAGCGGATGGGCCGTTTCCACCGGATCCTGGAACCAGTCAGTTCTCATTCCTTCTCCACGAAAAACTTCGATATATAGATGAATCACTTCCATTTCAAATATTTGATTTCCTTCGCAGGGTCTAAACTTCTTGATTCCAATCTTGGATAGAATCCGATATGTTCAAAGCCTCAAAGAGATCGTGATAGATGTGCCGGAGCAGTCAGCAGTTTCCCTAGGTAAATCACAGGCTTTCTGATCTTCTTCACTCCCACTTTTATGGAGCATTGAGATGAACTTAATATGATGTTTTGCTTTTAGACAATGTGACCTTGCAGATAGATGGAGTTTTATACCTCAGGATACTTGACCCGTTTAAGGTAAGTACTTTGCTGCTTTATTACAGTGTTTCTTTTAGGCTTGCTTCTCATAATGTGCTGTTGTTCTCATCTGAAGGCCAGTTATGGTGTGGAGGACCCAGAATATGCCGTCACCCAGCTGGCACAGACCACCATGAGATCAGAGTTGGGAAAACTGACCCTGGACAAAGTGTTTAGGGTATGAACGCCAGGCAATCTGTCATTGACTTAACAATTTTGGATGTACCATTCATTTGTGTGCTTACAGATCATTTCGTCCTTTGGCAGGAAAGAGAGTCCCTGAATTCCAATATTGTCCACTCGATAAACCAGGCATCAGATGAATGGGGAATTCGATGCCTTCGATACGAGATCAAAGACATTCACGTTCCTCCGAGGGTAAAAGAGTCTATGCAAATGCAGGTATGATGATTTCCTCTTTAACTTGATCTCGTAGACCTAAAGGACTACAAGGTGCACCTCTAAATCATATGACATGAATGTCGTTCAGGTTGAGGCCGAGAGGAAAAAGAGAGCGACTGTCCTGGAGTCCGAGGGACACAGAGAGGCGGCCATCAATGTGGCGGAGGGTCGCAAACAGTCTCAGATTCTGGCGTCTGAGGGACAGAAGGCCGAACAGATTAACAAAGCTGCTGGTGGGCTTTTTACTCTGGTTTGGAATAATGCTAGCAGTAAAATAAAAAGTTGGACTTCAAAATGAAATCTAAATGAAACCAAAATTATCTTATTTTGAACAATTTATGACATAACTTGCCCCACCTCTGAATTGAATTTTTTTTTTTTTGGCTGATGTCACAAACTATATATATCGCAAACTATAACCATAAAAATTATTGAATTGCTTGAAATAAAAGTAAATTCACATTTTGAATGTGAATTATTTCAGCTATTTATTATTTCTCTTTTTTTTGTATAGTTAAAGTTGAAGTACTAAAATAACAAAAAAATTAACTTAAACACACACACATATATATATATATATATATATATATATATATATGACTAAAAACAAAATGAGTATAAAATATAAAAATAAAATCACATTTAAAATGTTACACTAATAATATAATATATAGTAATAGAAGTTTATACATTATGCTAATATAACAATGTCAGTTTTTACATTGAATAACCTGTTTCACTTGGAATTGCATTTTTTTACATTATTATTGATTATTATAATACATGTATTTATAATAATACAAATTACTCTTATGATAACAGATAATAGCAAACAAATTCAAATAAATTCTGAAATAATTGTTACATTTTTAATTGTTTTATTTATATTATTATGAAAAAATATAACACACATTTTTCTTATTATTTTTAAATAATGCAAATGTAAATTAATTATATGTTCATAATTAAATGAATGATTTAATATTCATAATCCTCACTGACGTATCACTGATCTTTCCCCCTGTTCAGGCGAAGCAAATGCAGTTCTGGCTAAAGCTGAGGCCAAGGCCAAAGCCATCCGGCTGCTGTCCGAGGCGCTCACTCTGCAGGTACAGCTCGTCCATCTATTGAAGAGCTCAGATCACACCTATAAACATGACACTGTATCTTAGTAGAGAGGAAATCCATTCTTCACTCATTCAGCTGTGACATATATAGTGAGTTTAACATTATGTTTCATAACTGTACAGAATGGAAATGCTGCGGCATCTTTAAGTGTGGCCGAACAGTACGTCTCTGCTTTCTCTAACCTGGCCAAGGAGTCCAACACCATCTTGCTGCCCTCGAACACAGGAGACATCAGCACTATGGTCACTCAGGTAGGAGAAGTCTCTTTTGTTCACCAAAGCTGCATTTATTTGATCAAAAATACACTGCACCTTTAAAATGTAATTTATTCCTGTGATCAAAGCTGAATTTTCTGATCCTTCAGAAATTATTCTAATATGCTGTTATTGATTATTTTAAATTATAATTAAATTTGAAAATATTACTGTAATAGATGACTTTTAAAAACATAACATCTGAATTATTTTTTTTAAATCTTTTGACCACTATTGTATATATGGCACATAAAATGTCCTAATAATTAGAATAATATTTAGTTTACATGTATTCTTCATTGTTCTGTACCGTCTTCAGGCCATGGCGATTTATGGGAATTTATCAAAGACACGAGCTCCGAGCACAGCAGACATCGTGACCACCGAGTCCTGGGAAGCAAATGCAGTGTCTGAAACTGAAAAGAAAGAGGTTTGAGTCTCATTCTGGGACAAAAGACACAAACTGATACCGATTCTGTTTGTAGAGGGCGGATGTGATAAAAATTAAATTATGATGCTAAAATACCTGAAGCACTATGGTGTTCTGTAGTAACTACACAAACATTTTATTGTGTTTGTTATGTTTTGTTTCTGTCTGTTATAAGTTTGGGATGTTTTGTTTCTAGTTCTTGTCATATTAAAGGCCATACACCATTATTCAAAGGTTTCTGCTATTCACATTTTCAATAAAAATAAATAAATAAAAACAAGTAGTAATATTCATGAGATTCAAATGAATTGCAAATGAATGAATTAATGAACTGCAGAACACTGGTAAATGTTGTGTATTGCTGTTTACAGCTTTTCCAAACCAATGTGTTTTGAGAGAGTTAAGGTACGCCATATTAGCACAATTTCTGTGAAATATTTCATGGGCAAAAAAGGTCTTTTGTCAATTGTGGAAGGATGCAGGTGAGCTTTTATACACTGTTCACTTAGGGAGGACAAACTTAAATTCACTAGGGCTTCCCTCACGTGTGGTGGCTTGCTACTAAACAGAATGTGATGGCCGTTTCTACATGGTCCTTATATGGATGAAGGGTGGTGTTATGGGTCTCACATCATATCAGTGCTGATGCGTACCCCGAGGTAAATTTACACATCTGTTCATACAATAGAAAATAAATATTTCATTTGTGAATAATTCAGAGCTATAGCTACTGTTATATGGTTTTAAGTAGAGGATTGTGTATGTATATTTGGAAAAATAAAATTGTTAAATAAACCAAATAGTGATCAAGACTACGGTAGATAATTTCGTAATTTTGACTTTTTCCTGAAAATTGTGAGATTAACTCGCAATTCTAACTTTTTTTTCTGTCCCCAGAATTTGCTCTAGATTAACTTTTTAAAAATTGTATTCCCTGGCGGAAACTTGTGATAGAAAAACATGGTTAAAACCTTTGTCATATACACTAATTACCACTAACACAAACATTTAAGTATATATCATGTAATTGTTAAAACTGCACAAAATAATATATTTAATCACATTTTAAAGACATTAACCTTTATTGCAATTGTAAAAATGATTTGATCTTCAGTCAACAAAGTTCTCCATCTTAAAGGTGCAGTGTGTATTTTATAGTGCCATCTAGCGGTTCGGAAGGGAGTTTACACTAAGCGCTCAGCCCATTGCTCACCCCTCCATTTCAAAGAAGCTACAGTGGCTAAAACAGAACAAACATATCGTCGTCTGAGACAGCAGAGAATAGCCAGAGTAATGGTGCGTTCGTGTGCAATGGTAATTAAGGTAAATACCAAAAGCCGACGTGGAAAATGCACATGAACACCCCCTCATGTGGTATTTTCCACTGGGCAACTCGTAGAATATTTTGATGGACGAGTTGCCAAGATGAGATAAATTTTGACCTTTTCAAAATGGCAGAAAGCACCGCGAGAGTCGTGAATGGTAAAAATATATATGATCTACAAAATATACAGCATATTATTTACCTTTTGAGTTTTGATAAATCATTTTCTTGCTGTTGCAGATGACTTAAGCAATATAAAATAGTTTTAGCTAAATAACAGGTCTGGATCTCAATCTTTTTTCCACATTACGACAACAAAAGCACTTGAACGCAACACACTGGTAAATACCAGTTCACAAGTGGAAAATATCCTATTTTTCCATAGCACGTGAACGCACCATAAGCCAAGAGTGTGTAACATTGTCACTGTTTCTGTACCACAGTCCATTATAAATCACATCATGGATAAAGTTTACAAAGCCATAGTCAGGTGAGGATCAAGGGTCTTAATTTATAATGTAATAATAGTAATCAGCTGATTGTCTCGCAAACGTAAACAGCACATTTCACCCCACATAGCAAACCCATAAAACAGCGAGGGATAAACTATCCAACTATATATGTTTTCTAACAGGGTAGTAAAAGTTTAGCTGGCTAAATATGAGCTGTTACTGTGGCTGAGCTGGTTAAAGCGTAAAGCCTTGTTTAAAATCGACACGTCCGCATGAGCGCAAAGGTGTGCACGGCAAAAATGACATGAATTACTTTGAAAACTCTTCGTGATCGACTTAAAATGTTCCCAAGATAGACATGTCGCCCGCCATCAACGTGTTGGTGACTCCTGTAACGTTGCTGTTTTACGGTCGATAGTACTAATCAGCTGATTGGCAAAGCCATAACACAGCGAGGGAGAAGAACTAAGTTACATGAAACAATCCAACTACATATTTTACACCACTGACAAGGGAAAAGTCACTACTCACAGTGTCTATGGCTTCCAGCTTCCTGCTGCTTCTCTTTCAAGGTAGTGACGAAAGACGCTCTGTAGAGCTGTTTGTTCGTGTTCAGCTACGGTAGAAAGTGATGTCACAATATGTCGACCTTCATAGAAGAGGGTGTCCGCGGTTATGTAGATATAAATGTCTCATTCTAAGTCATTAAAAACATTACGGTTTATTAAGCAAGTTATTTATACCACTGTAAATATAGTTATGGATGTCATATTACATTTCTGTAAATAGATAGTCAAAATTATTACACATTGCACCTTTAAGTCCCATCAATTTCAATGCTCCTTTTGACAAGTTTGAACAATCATCCTTTTGATCTTATAAAAAACAATCTTCATTTCTTAACACTGTTCCACCTTAATAAAATATATATTTTTTTTTAAATCCCAAATATGTAAACAGACTGAAATGAGTGTGTTACTTGCAGGAAGGCAACATTTACAAGCAAACCATTTATAAGAAAGGCTCATTTGCATGAAAAAAAAAAAAAAAAAAAAAAAAGCACAGTTAGAAACTCATATGAAGCCCACTTCAAGTGTCAGCAGTCTCATTACTTGCCAGTTTGCCATGGTGGAGCTAGGAAACAAAATACTTCTAAAGGTTTTGATCCATTATTCTCCATGGTGATCATTATTAAAATTCAACAAATGTATTTGTTTTTAATTAAATCACCATAAATTGACAGCAATAAAACAAAGTTTTTTTAATAAAAATTGTATGAAACCGAAGACACTTTAAGGCACCAAGAATAATTTACAATATATTAAATGCAAATTTGCAGGAAGAACAAAATTATAAGAATTCTACAGTTTCCTATGCACATTCATCAGAGTTATAGGTCATTGAGGTTGTAAATTACAAGTTAAAGGAGTGAACAAGTGATCTAACATGGTAGTTTTAACATATCTGTGCAAACTTAGAACATGATAGTGACCCTGACCACTCACAAACACACTAGTAGCATTAGTATCTATCAAATCAATATTATTACTTTGTTCCATTTCGTAACAAAAAAAAAAATAGCCCTCTATAGTGCTAATCCCAGTGTTTGTACACACTCACACTGTACAGTTTCTCATCACAAGATGATGTTATTAAAAGAGTTAAGTGGGCAATATACCCACTATCTTATAAACGCTCACTATTACAGTGAAATATTACAGTGCATCCCTGGGTGGCTCCTAAAACGAAGGACATGAGTGAAACCCGTCCTCATGAACCTCAAGAAACACAAAACAAGGGGAAAATATTGTTTTGTAATTATCATATTAGTAGTATAGTCTTTAATTTGTCATTTTTAATTACTTTTAAGTACTTTTATTACAATAATTGTTGAATGTAATATGGCTAAAACATGTTTATGAAAATGTATCATTTGTGTTATTCTCATTGAAAAAATTGGGGAAAGAGTGCTTAATTGAGAAGAAAATATTTTACAATACAACCCAACAGAGATTCACCCACAAAGACAATTGTAGACAGACTGTGTCAAATAATTATTTTCTCTATGGCTTTGTGGTCTGTGAAGTTGATTTACCCTTAAGTGATCTGTTCAAAATGGAAAAATGTACAAATCTATTGTTCAGAAATCTATATTAATAAAGAAACCAGTCAAAATACAAGTATAACTATTAATTGCAATTTTGACAGTGAAGTTGAGTGATGCTGCTTTAAATGCCAGTCCACAGCTAGCAAAATCATTAATGAAATCACATAACAACTGACAAAAAAATATAACAAAATTTGTCAAAATCTATTAATTATAAATATATATATATATATATAGTATGTATATTATATCATGTAAAGTATATTTGTTGTACAGATCAAGTATTTAATATACTGAATTGAACTTATGTAATGAAGATTCTTCCACATTACGGTAATGGGAATTGTGGGGTGAATGTGCTTAATTGTAATGAAAATAATATTACGAGAAATGGGTGAAATATAATTTCTTAATTTGGGGGTGAAATATAAATCCGATTTTTTTCATGAGATTCACCAAGTTTTTTTTTTTTTCAAGTAAACAGCACATAAATCCAATCTCAGATCTCCATAACAGAGTTAATTGCTTACTGACCGCACTGCTCTTCTGTCAAAGTTCACCTCTGAGTCGGGTGTGCAGATCCTCCTGGTCGATTTTGCCCGTCTGCTGGAACCAGCGGTGGTGGGCGAGCAGGGCCAGATTACGGCCCGAAATGGCGCTCATCTCCATGGCACTGGCTGCCCACTCCACGGCGTTGAGGTAGTAGAGGCGCTCGTGGAGGATGAAGGGAGGCGTCCTGCGGTGCGGCGGGCTGTAAGAGGGGTACGCGAGCCAGCGCTTCTCAAACACAGAGTCCCAGGACAGGAATATTTTCTGCAGATGCTGCTGAGAAAGAGGCTGGGATGAGAAGATCTTCCAAACTTTGCTTTGGCTGGCAGGGCTTGGGCTGTAGCCCTTGGGAATCCTCACTGGGCTCAGAGAGCTCAGGCTCAGGATGTCGGCAGCTTTGTTATCCAGCGTGAGGACATCGGATACGAAGAAGTCTTCCGGCTTGTCTGTGGTGCCCAGAAAGGACACGTTGAGCAGACCGTGGACCAGCGTGGCCACCGTTTGGTGGTAACGACCGGGGAAGTGGGATGGAATGGGTGGAGAAAAGCCTGAGAAGTTGATCTCAGACATGCCCTGGTGGAGAGGTGTGGCGACTACAACTATGTCGTACATGGAGTGGGCGGCACCAGACTCACCAACGTAGTTCACCTCATAGAAATTTGTGACTGAACCTGAAAGGCAACAAAATAAAAATGGGTAAATATGATTGGACTGATGAGACCACATTAACATTCAAAAGATTTAAACTTTTTTTTTGTCTCTTATGCTCGGCAATGCTAAATCTATTTGATGATTTATTTATTTTTATTTATTTATTTAACCAGGAAGTCCCTTGAGACTGAGTCTCTTTTCCGAGGGTAAATACAGTAGCAGTAATACTAAGAAATATTATTACAATGTTTGAAAAATGTTATTTATTTATGTGATGCAATGTCACATGATTCTTTAGAAATCATTCTAAGATTCTGATTTGAAACATTTCTTATATTGAAAACAATTGTGTACATTTTTCAGATTCTTTGATCAATAGAAAGTGCAAAAGAACAGTATTTATCTGAAATAGACTCTTTAGAAACATTATAAATGTCTTTACTGTCACTTTAGGTCAGTTTAATGAATCCTTGCTAAATAAATTAATTTCTTTGGGAAAAAAAAATCGTCACTGTCCCCAAACGGTAGTGTACATAGTATATAAAAAGATTTACTGTAATGTTCATAGTGGACTGTACCAATTTTGGATGGTCTCATCTTTATGGAGATGGAAGTCACACGAGCTGGAACAAGCTCGGCTTTGCTGTGGTACAAAAGCCCCGAACAAACCAACTTATTCCCTCCATCCACTGCCCACAAACCTGACTCGGCTCCTGCTAGTGAAACAGCGCCTGCAAAAGGAATACACCGTATTCACACACTTCTAGTGTTCCCCAAATGCTTTTGCTGTAGGACCAGATTATACATTAGACAACAAGATTATACAGATATCAAGTGTTGACTCAAAGCAACAACAAATTTGTAGTACAAAACTAAAAATTACACAATTACAGCACATGGTCTATGGCATTTGGGAAAATGACAAATAACATGATTAAAAAATGGCAAAAAAAAAAATTAAATTTTTTTTTTTATTATTTAAATGTATGCTTTGGTTTTGACATTTTTAAATGTTGGTTTCATATAATTTTGAAAAACTAAGAAAAAAGTAAAAATTAAGAAAAGGATAAAGGATAAAAAGGACTTAAAATATCATGTGGTATAACCAAATAATAACATTTTTTTTAATGTGTACAGACCTTAATCATTATTTTCAGAAAAGTTTTAAATACATTTTTCAATGTAAAAATTATCTTTTTATATGAAATAAAATGAATAAGTTTTGGCAAGTCGCACCACATGACATTGTCATAAACTTGTCATAAAAAGGTTAAATTATCAGATATTTTAAGAGAAACTGACCTTGACAAACAGTCATGATATGATTTCCCTGCATGTTTGCACTGGTTGCACCAGATGATTTTGATTTGGCTCAAACATTCCGAGTATTATAAATATTTTAAAGTGGTGATGAACTGAGGAATCAAATTTTCTAAGAGGTCATCATATTATAAGTATATCCTGTAAGTTTCAGATCTGAAAACGTCCTTGTTAGTCCAATAAAAGCTTTTATTGACACCAGGCTCAGCAAACGACTCGTTTTTCAAAGTGGGGAACTAAAGAGGATAAAACACCACCCCCGCAGAAGAAGATCAACGCCTAATTCAACACGGCTGGTTTAGCCCCGCCCAAAGATTCGCGCATTACACGCATAGCTAAATAACATAGGCCTGCCTACCTCGTGAAGACATGATCGAGAGTGAAACTCATTATAATATGCAAAACTGTTATCCACTCACAGTAGTGGGCGTTTACTTCCACGTCTTCAATGCGAGACGCCCATAAAAACAGAGGGTTTTTGAGCTGGGCTCAAAACTAGGGTAGAAAATAGCCTATTACTTATTCATTTTGATGTTTTTTAAATGTAAGCGAACGTCATAAGTTGAGCAGACAACAATATAAAAAAAATGTAAAAGCCAGTTCATGACCCCTTTAAGGCAGTGGCTATTTAAACGGTTTAAATAGAGAATAGACACAAAAAAATTGTGTTATATCCCCATTTGTTATTAATGCTGAAAGGTCACAAACATCCTTTATAGTATAAACATACCTGCAAATCCATTGATTCGGACACTTTGGCCGTAGTTGACTCGTGTGATGGGTGCTACCATGTCATTGAGAAAGACCTGAGAGAAGCCCTCGGCCAGCATGGCCTCCTCCAGTGTCTGATTGACCAGAGTGAGAAATCCGTCTCCACCCATGGCATGCAGCAGCTTTTCCACGCTGGAGAACGAGTAGCCAAACTGCTGGTACTGATATATCCTACAGAGGACAGAAAGTGACAATAAAAGGCACATAAGAACTTACTGGTCATAATAATTCTATACCTCGCTAGATGAATTAAGGCAACACGACAGACAAACCTCATAAACTTGTCTAGTATGCCCTCCACCCACATATTCATTCGAATGAATTGGAATCCATATCTCCAAAGCATGCGTATGAAATTTACGATGAACCAGTCGCTCTCTTCAAAGGTCAGCTCCTTCCCGTCAAATATCGCCAGTTTAGAAGATACATCAGCACGAGGTGACATACCTGATCAAAGAAAATGACATAAGATAAGGTTTTTCACACTTAACCCGGGTTGTCGTTGCTCTAAACCCTTCTTTTAACCCCAGGTAAAGGTTCACATTTAATTTAAAAGCAACAGCGAATCACATGCCTCAAATTTCTGTGCTTTGGACAGTCACGGAAACACTGCATGTTGTATAATCACCCGTTTCAGCATTAAATGGTAGCAAGAAATGTGTCAGTTGGTGTATAGAAGGTTTTGATTCGTAATACTTGATAGCACAGTCGGCAATATGTAAAATGAGATTTTATGTAAACCGATGCTGTGCTCGTCCGATCAGTGACACTAAGCAGCGTGAAGCAAGATAACCCAGAAAATGCAGTTTACTCTGGGCTTACAATGACCAAGGGTAAACTATTTGAAGCCCTGAAGTGACACACTTTAGTTTTCTAGATTAAACTGAAAATATCCAGTTGTTTCATAGAAGAACATCATAAGATTTCTTTCAACAAAGATCTTGAGAGAGAAGTGGACACTGACCGAGTCTGTCCAGAAAGTACTTCATGTGCAGGTTAAGGGGGTGAATAATGGATCCCCCCGTCTCATACTCGTATCCTCCAATGTTCTCGGTGGCCAGACGCCCTCCGACAGTCCCCGCCTCAAACACTTCGATCTTCACTCCCGGCCCAAACTCTTGTCTTAAGAAGAACGCTGTTGCCGTGCCTCCAATACCACCCCCGATTATTGCTGAAGAAGAAACGGATGCTTAATCCATCAGATCCCACCAAACACTTCCATTAACCCTGTAAAGTCTACAGTCTCATAATCTGATACATGAATTTCTAAAGCCTATAATTGACCAAAATGAGAAAAACTTGTTGTACACAATTTACTATGTGCATTTTCATTTACATGCACTATTCATAATTCAAATTATTTTAGCTAGTAAAAGGCATTTTAGTGTAATTGTATTTTGCTGTGAAATCTAAATTTAAAAAAAAAATCAAGTAAAAAGAATAATTTTTTATTGCTACTAATTTTTCAAGATGAAAACTTACTGGACTGAAGCAACTGAAGTTTATTTGATTATCCATATGTATTTTCGTAGAAAAATCACATTAAAATGTGAGTATCAAATATGATACATTAGGCTTTTGAAGAACGTGTGTTAAAATATCTCTCAATCATCACTGTATTGCATTGTATTATGTTATCGCACACAAAACAATTTAATTATGTAAATATAATCTTACTAATACATTATTATTAGATATATAGAGCAAAAACTAATATTTATATGCATTTTAAGCAAGTAGTCTGCTTTACTGGTTTTACAAGCTATGACATGTTGGCCATATGAATAACATCTGCACAAAATAGCAGAATTTTACTCAATTTGGACTGAATTTCTGAATAAAACAGGTGTTTTTCTCCTCCTCAAGTGTGACCACAATATTTCTCACTATATCATCCTATATGAGCTATAAAATCCTGATATATCAAATATGATAAAAACTCTAAACACATATGCAAACTTTTTGTTTATAGATTTAGGTTCAATAAACTGTCCAATTTAAATGGACTATTTTTTTCAGTGTAGGCCTTTAAAAGGGTTAAAAAGTCTTACTAAAATAAATGAATGATGTGAATTTGACCGTACCAATTTTCTTGGGTGGCTCTCTGACTTCAGGAGCAGAGGCAAAACCCCTGCGTCCTACTTGACAAAGCCCAATGAAGAGTAGAGCCTTCACCGACAGGTGTCTTAGAGCCATTCTGGGGATTTAGTGTTTCACAAATAATAACATCTGAAAAGGAAATGGCAAGATAATATGTAAATGAGGCATTTACATGAGATCAAAAGGAGAGCTGTCAGTCAATAGATATATGAAAACAAATGATCTTGCGTTACTTATTTGAAAAAGTAACTTAGATCATTTGTAAATTTTAAAATAATGTTTTACTAGTTAATTGAAAAAGTAATCTGATTACCTCGCGTTACCCCAAACACCGACAAAAAGTATTGTAACAAAAAGTAACTGTTTTTTTTTTGTTTTGTTTTTGTTCGTCCATTTTTAAGGAATCATTTAACTTTTTTTACAGTCTATGATTGACACACGGCCCTTGTTTAAGACTATTTTGACCTGTGAAATCGCGCTCAGTCGCGTTGAGCTCCGTCTGTTCTTGAACACAGGGTAACGTGTAACGTTACAATTTCGACAGTCTGCTAATAATGTAACCTGTAATAAAAATGTATATCTTTAATCAATAGCATTGATTAAAAAAACTGGTGTAGACAGAGAGGACAAACTCCTAAGTCTAATCGATTCAAAACAAATTATTTAAAGAAATTAAACTTTGACGCCGACATTGTCATGCATGTCACGTCCACGTTTATGCAGCTGTCAAAACACCATTACATCTCACCTCTGTAAATCTCACTTTGAAAAGTTAAAATAACAAAGTGCGTGAAATCCAGCAGCCGCAGATTCGTTCTTTGAAAGAAGAAGCATAGAAGTACGGAACCGGAAATAAGGCGCACCATGGGATGGCGGAAGTGGCGTGTTTTTGGTTGCAGCATGCTTAGTTGTAGTAGTAGGTGACCTTACTGTAATATTATTGAAGCGTTTTGGTTTCAGTTCAAACAGATGCATTTATAAGGATTCAGTAATGGTTTCCAGGAGCTGTTAGTAAAACGTGCACGTTGTGATTCATGGCTTTATAGAGTCGCTGGTTAAAGAAGAACTGAAGCTGTGGGTGTGAGATCGGGAATGGCAGAGGCTCATCAGGCGCGCGTGCAGAAGGCAGTGGAGGACATGGTTCAGAGTCTCGAGAGAGAGCACATTCGGAAGATGCAGGTGAGGAGGATGACCTTCAGATTCTCTTGAGACATGAAATCAGAAGTAACTGATCTGACGGATAAGATGCTGATACGAGAACACTGTTGCTCCTTGTGGCTCAACATTAATTTCAGGGTTTTTTAAGCAATGAATTATGATGTATATTCATTGTTCAGCAATATTGTTGGATATTATTACAGTTTAATATAACCGTTTTCTATTTTATTATATTTTACTGTAAGCAGCCGTTTCCAGTATCATTACTCACATGATTATTCCCCAGTGATTATTCTCCATTATTCCAGTGTCACATGATCCTTCATAAATTCTAATATGATGTCTTGATGCTCAAGAAACATTTATTATAATTATCAATGTTGAAAACAGTTGTTGCTGTTTAATATTTTTTTTTTGGGGGGGGGAACATAGTGCATTTTTTCAGTATTCTTTGATCAATATATAATTATTTTATAAATTACATAATAATAATTATATACATGTAAAATTGTATTTTATATGAATATATTATTTATATACAATGGATTATACAACAAATATATAATGTTATTAATTAAAATTAATCTACGTTTTTATGTAATATTCTAAGACTTTCAGTATTTTTTGTTACATTTAGTTTCTGGATATTTCTAATTTTATACAAGAGCATAGTCTTTTCATCAATTCTGATTTTCTATATTGATTAGAAGTCTTTTAATATCTGAAATATAGTCTTTGACCACTTATCAGTCAGAGGTTGATGAAGTGAACGGCTTCTAACACTGAAATGTGCTCTCAGGGCCGCATGTTCCACTGCAGTGCCGAGTGTTGTGAGCGTCCCGGCGAGTCCATGAACCAGGTGCACCAGTGTATCGAGCGCTGCCACACACCGCTGGCTAAAGCTCAGGGACTGGTCACTAGTGAGCTCGAGCAGTTTCAGGTCAGTCGCTCTGAGAGATCATTTACTCTTAATCTTCCTGCTGGAAGAGCGTGATGAGGAAGAACTCTTGATTCACCCACAGGACCGTCTCTCGAGGTGTACGATGCACTGTAACGATAAAGCCAAGGACCTGTTTGACTCCGGGGCGAAGGAGCCTGCTGTGCGGGCACTGATGGACAGCTGTGTGAGCAGCTGTGTGGACGAGCACCTGAACCTGCTGCCCAGTGTGACCCGCAGACTGAAGGACAGCTTGAACTCAATACCTCAGTGAAGATCAGGCTGTAGGAAATCATTCTTGTGAACTCATCTGTTTACTAGGAAGATTAGCTTTCCGATTTGTGAGTGATGTGTGTTGATTACTGTCTGTATTGTTTGTGGCTTTTTTTTACAGGCAATAAATGTGACTAAATCAACTTGCTGTCTGTTCAATGTGTCCCAGGGAAATAGAAAAAAAAAAAGCTGATGAAAGAAAATTAATTCTATTTTTAGAACCATTATGACTTTTTTGTATTGTCAAATAATTTTTTATTATAATAAAAAATATTTGTAGTAAATGTTGTAGTAAAATAGTGAAATTCAAGGCGTGTTTTATATAACTTCCATAAATAACGTGTGTATATATATATATATATATATATATATATTAATCGTTTTAATCGCGATTAACCGCTTGACGGCCCTAATATATATATATATATATATATATAGTATATATGTGCGTGTGAACGTTTATGTTAACATTTATGTATATTAATAAATATAACACTTTTTAATTGAATTTTTTAATTATGAAAATAATGTGTATTATTCACACACACATATAATGTACATATTTTATTTATATGTATGTTTTATAAAATAGTTTAAAAAGTTTTTTTGTTTTTAATTGTACAATTAATTAATAAATGTAAAACAAATATATTTAATTATAATAAACGATATATAACAAATACTAAACAAAATGGTGGTATTAATCATTCTATATATATATATATATATATATATATAAAATTACAACAAAAACAATTCTATATATATATATATATATATATATATAGAATTGTTTTTGTTGTAATTTCACACACATATATATATATATATATATATATATATATATAAAATACACATTTTCGTTCTGAATTTGCTGTTGTAAATTAAGTCTAATAATTAAAATCATTGAAAATGTTCTAGGCCAGATTTATTACTGCACTGTGAGAATGAGATGTTTTTCATACTGGATAAAAAATGAACAATTTCTTCTGTCAGTGCTGTTTTAATGTACATCTTGATGCTTTGGTCCAACAATATTTACATTTAACCAAAAACACATTGTGTATAAATTTTCATTGGACACTTGTGGAAGTCACTTGAAATGCCCTGCTGGTAAACCAACACATGCCTGTTCAACCTTCACTGATCCTACATCAGCATGCATTGACAAAAACAACAGCTTCTATCATGTTAGCACCAATTTCAAACGATTGTAACAGTACAGAACCAATATTTATTCCGTTTCCTTATTTTTTTGTAAAGAAAAAAATGTGGGATTTCTAACCAATTAACAACTAGCCTAACAATAACAATGAGAACTGTTTAAATATAAGACAACTTCCAACAAATAATTTACAAACAGAATCAAATGGGCAGAAAGTGAAGAACAGGATCAAGAGCACTCACTCTCAGCTCTGATACTGACATATAGTAAATTATTTTAAAAGGCACCTGACTATTTACAATTTAAGGATACAAATAAAATGAATGAAATAATATACACGAGGCTAATGGAACATAAATAATAAAAAAAATGGTCTGGATTACAAGCTGGACTGGTTTATGTGGGGTTGGTCATGACATACTGCGTGCGCTGCTGCTCTCTGGCTCTGGTGTGTCGCCTCTCCTCTCACTGGACGGAGAAGTGTAGAGGAAGTTACAGCACACATACAGAGGGAAAGACAAGAGCCGGCTGTCCAGGTTCATCACCACATATTCCTGTCAATGTAACACAAAGAAGTGCTTCGGTCAAGTCAAGTAACTGGAAACAAAATTATTTCATATTGAACATTACGATGACAGAATACCTGGTCCTTTTCAAGGGTAACAAGCTGGTAGCCAGTTGACCGGCTGCAAACCACTTTTCCACTGCTATCAAAGGAAGCAAGGCGCAATCTGAACAATAAAGATATAATAATAATCAAAAAATTTAATTAAATACTTAAATTATAAAAATTAAATTAAAATTAGGTTAAATACTAAACAAAAAATATATATCAAATATATTTGATATTTTGAAAAATGTATTATAATTTATTTAAATTCACTGAAATTATTAATTTAATATTATTTTACCATTATTTAATATACAATTTATTTTATAATTTATTTTTAAATTAGTTACTAAATAATTGAAATAAGCATATACATATATTCATTTTTAATAACATTCATTATTTTCTAGATAAATAGACAATTTTATTACTAAGAAACAATGTCCATTTAAGCACAGTATGTACAAACATATACAGATTGTACAAGTAAACATCGTATTATTTGTAGATAGTCTGTAGGAAGATGTTTAAGTTGAATGCTATATTATAATACTAATTCCTTCATAATGTAATGCAACGTAATATGAGAAAAATAACCAGATGTGTAACAGCTCACCGGTACGCAAGGTGGCGTCGTGGCTGTAAGCTGACAGCGCCCCCACATGGCTGACTGAGTGTGTTTCTTTTAAATATTATGAAGCGATTTGTGTAAGTCACCAGCAGGTCAAAACCATAATTGAACCCCGTCCATCGCCAACAGTACTGTAGAGACAACAAAAATACATCCACGTTATTCAAAACAAAAATATGCAATATACTGTACAACAAGAGTTCAACTCACATCTCCATCTTTGGTCAGTTTTCGTCCACAGCGCATGCTGTTCAGCTCAAACTCCTCTTTATTGGCCTCTTGTGGTCTGTAACGATCACATTCACTCATTTCCTATTCAAACCACATGTTTACTATGTAGCAGTGCAGGTATCGGACATTCTCTCACCCGTTATCATTATCATGTTCTGTCCTCAGCATGGCGAACCACTGTTGTTTGTACACACTGCTCAGCCACTCTGATACAAACACAAGAGGTATTGGGTTAATATATATATATATATATATTTCATCTGACTGGATTCATGCTAAGTTCTGGAAGTCACGAGTGCAGCAGGAGAGTTACCGGGCGGTAGGATGTTGTCCCGTTCCAGCATGCGGGCGGACGCCAGGTCATTAATGATGTACTGCAGGCGGATGAGTCGGAAAACGGGCACGAAGGGCATCCCATCATCTGAGTTCAGAAAGGGCTCCTGCTCTCCAGCCTCTGTGTACGAGTGTGGCAGTTAGAGGAAGACTATAGAAATGTGTTTTTATGCGCTTGCATGGGGGAAACGTACCACTTCTTCTTTTACACAGCCAGGCATCCGCATCGAGCAGAAGCTGTTTGATAGGACCATCCCAGGATGGATTAAGCTGCAAGAACATCCACTGAAAAAAAAAAAAAAAAAAAAAGAGTTTAAAATAATAATAATAATAAGCTGTGATGTAATTCAGTGCACTGCTAAAAACACAGACTTAACCCAATAAAGCCTGCCATTCATTCTTTAAAAGTTTGGAAACATTACAATGTTTTTATGTTTTTGAAAGTAGTCCCTTACTGTATGTACGGAGCCCCTAAAGGGGCCGTTGAAAAAATAAAGACTATCACATGCGCACGCGATAGTTTCTTGGTTACAACACGACCAAAAAATCCTTTTAATATACAATTTATCCTGTTAAATCATTCATTGCAAGACACTCTGATATTGATGATTTATGTTCATTTTGTAAAAGTGGGAAAGAGGTGTTGACTTATTAGTTTTTTGAATGCAATAAAAAGGATATTATTCCATATCATATTTCATAAAATTCTTTAACCCTCTGGGGTTGTTCGTTTCAGAGTCACACTCGGGGTGTTCGGGTGTGGGATTCATATAAAAAATAAAAAAAAATCATGATTTTTTTAACTCGTTTTTTATAATATTTTTTCTTTTCTTTTTTGGTGTTTTGAGAAAAATTCAAAAATATATTTTTTAATAATTAGTATTAATGCAATAATTATGACAAAACGTCACCCCTTCACTGTTGTGTGCCTTTTTTTAAGATCGTAGCTGATTTGTAGATTGTACAAAAAAACTCACATTTTCACATTTTTGCCAATTTCCCATTCATTTTCTATGCGGGTCCATTTGGACCCGAACACCCCAAATGTGACTATTTTTTTTACAACCACTTAGACTATTCACATCCTGTCCCCAATTTTTTTGGGTGTTCAAATACCAAATACCAACAAAGTCACCAAATTTCTGACCATTCCGAGGAAGCTGTGATTTAAAAAAAAATTGTATTTAAATTCTTCGGTTCCATTTGGGCTGAAAAAACCCCAGAGGATTAAAATGCACATGAAAACTACAGATTTGCATAAATTGTTTGTGTGTTAAATTATTTTCATAATTTCCAAACATACTCATAAGATGATTAATATTCCTGTTAAACCAATTCATTAAAATTAAGGATTTATTGGTCACCTAGTAACCAGCAGTTTAATAACATTTTGGTCTTTTTTAAGTTAAACTACATCCATGCTGTTGTTTTCCTCATAGTAATGACAGTGTCGCAAATTGTACGCAAACCGGAAATTGTAATGCGTGCGCACGAGAAACGTGCAAAGGTCCCTTTAGGGGCTCCGTATTCTTTTGTTATTATTTCCTCACAATCATCAAAAAAATATTTAAATGTATTAAAATACCTGAACCATGTTTACACCACCAGGGGCAGAAGACATGTGATCATACCCCAAATCACCTACCTTTTTCAGTGCTGTGTAGACATCCATCTCCACTTGCATTACAAACAGATCGGAAGACTGAATAAGTTGTTCCATAATCTCCACCCTACACACACACACACACACACACACACTAAATGAGACCAAACTTTTATAAAAACTACTAAACTTTCAGAAGCATATAGTAAGACTGTACCCGAGCTCCTTCATGAGGTCCACGTTCTGATGTGTCATGAGGTTATTGAGGAGCCACTCTAAACACCTGCAATGCACATGCAACATGCTCATTATGTCACAAGAGTGTTGGAGAACAACGAAGGGAATCAAACAAGACTACTGACTTCTTCATGACGGAGTCCAAGCCGTACGTGGTGGCCGAGTTATAATAGCTGCACACGGTTTTCACATTCACATTCTCCTTCATCGTCTCTCCACACTGCTGGATTAACCCATCCTGGGAAAGACAAAAAGCATATTATGAAGGATGACACTAGAAAGACAACCTGCACCAGTGATTAAAAAGTGTAGTTGGTGGCTATAGGGGTGTCGCTATCTGGTTGCTAAGGTGTTGCTGGGGGAGTGATTCTGATTGGCTGTGTATTTGTCGCTTTCTGCAGCAGTGAAGATTTTTTCTGCTTGTCTTGACATTCCAGTAGTTTGGACATGTGACAGGCTGAATCTGCATTACATCTTTACGGACCAAACTCTGTTTTTAAACCTAGACATACTTACCAACTGAAGCATACAGGCAGCAGCGAGTATATTAACAACCCGACTTGGTTTGATCAATACGTCGTCCCTGTAGAGTGACCCGAAAACCACTTGCAGGGCTACAGATGAAGAAGAAGACAAGGTCAGGATATGAATGTTTGGTGTCCACAATACAAATACAACAACTTAAATGTGTTCATTGCATCAAAGTGGTGTAAAATCTTCACCTTCAGTGTCAATATTTTGGTCTGGGATCTCAAGCTCGATAACCATCATGTTCGACTCCTTCCAAGATCCACTAAACATGCTGGAAAAATAGCCAGACTGTTTCGAAACAGGAAAATTAAAGGGGGGAGAAAACATTTAAATCAAAAGCGAAATGAGTAGTCTATTATTAGGAGAGCTGAACATCTGGACCAACCTGACACAGATATATTTTATGCAGGTTCCACTCCTGCCCCAGGGCTCGGATCTGGATGTCACTGTTTTCTCCATTCAGGAACAGTGTCTGGTAGATGTACTTAGAGGTGCTTTTCAACTTCTTCCTGTCCGCAGAAAAAAAGAATGCAGACAAAAACAAAAATTAGACATCTATTAAATACAATCGGCACTATTTAATGTGACAATGTAGGTTATCAACTGTCACATTTATATATTTTTTTTAAAGAAAGAAATTTACTTTTACTCAGCAAGGATGCATTACATTGATCAAAAGTGACAGTTAAGACATTTAGGCTATATCTCACATACAGTCAAACCAAAATTTATTCAGCATTTCTCACATTAACCCTGTTTATTCGATACAGTTTCCAAAAATGTAATAAAATATGACAAGAAATCAGAGTTATCAAATCAGTTGATATTTCACTGGTTTTGGCCATCCTTCTGTTAGACTGTTTCGCACATTAATTATGTTGAATAGCTGTCAGCTGTTAAAATTAGCCACACAATTAGATAATACCAATTTAGGTAAACCAATTACCAAGCAATGCTTCATTTTGTTCAGTCTGTGATGTAAAAAATAGATCGCATTAGCAAATAAAGAAAAAAAAACACTCAAGAAAACATGGTCAGGTCAAGTGTCTGAATAAATTTTGGTCCCAAATGTTTGGAAATTTTACTGGTACTCCACTGTATGAAAATTTTTTGAGTAAAATATGTAACGGTTTACTTTATTTTGCTATCCTCGCTTGCATAAATGAAAAGTGATTTTTAAAATGTAACAATATTTCACTGCAATTTTTATCAAATAAATGCAGGATTGTGAGAATAAAAGACTTCTTTCAAAAACTTCTAACTGACCGATCCCAAACTTTTGAGTGGCAGCGGTGTGTGTATTCTGACCTGCGTGGCGTGTCCAGCTGGCTGTCCTCTTCCTCCGGCTCACTGTCACACTCACAGCGTGAGCTGCGTTTCCTCTTCCTGCACTCGCAGCTGTGTCTGTTTCCAGCGCACTGCCTCTCCAGGGCCTCCTCCGGCCCCCGGGCCGACGACTGGAACCGGCTCCCGAGTGAACCCATGATTATTTAGCCTACAGAAAAACACTACTCATTTAGTCATGTACCTAAACTGCTTCAAAACACCAATGATGTGTTATCATCCAATGCAATTGGTACTGCCTGCAAAAAACTCAAACAAATAATTCAATTTAAGCACTGTATGGATGCCAGGGCATGAAGTCAGGTGACATTTAGTGAGTGAGATCACTTTCCACTGCTTAATTTACTTAGCTTGCAATATCTAAAGTTATTTTTGGTTTCATTTAGGTCCTGTGAAGCTCCAGTCAGATGGGTTAGAACAGAAACAGTGAATTTACGCTGTCAGTATAATTATTTCAACATCAAGAACTTATTATTTTTTCCATAAGCTGTATATTAAAGTCGTGTGTGTAATGTGCATGTGAAGAACCATAAATCTGGCCTCTTGTAAACACTCACCACAACAAGCTTCTGCTTCTCAAAACACTGGACACACCCTGGAATCTGCTTATCAAGCGCAGCGCAAATGCATTATTAGGCGTGTTATGAACGCATATTATGGCTGTTAATGACTGTACATCCAAATCGGCTGTTAAATGTCTAATGAACTAAAAAGCCGTTTGAAACAACAGCAGACTGCTAAATAACACACAGAGCTATGTGTCTCTGCTCCACGTCACGGCCGTGTGTGCTGATCCTCGGGCGCTGCTGCCCCTGCTGTCGTGGAGACGCTACAACAATTCTTGCAGACTGAAAAACAAATATTTTTGTCATGAAAACGTAGATGTTTTTTTTTTTAAAGAAAATAAAAAAGACAGACTGTTTATGTTCTTCTATGTCATAAAAGCTATATTATTTTACTGCAGTCTTTTTAAGTGTAATTCTATGTTGTGTTGACAGTTTTTTGTTTTTCTAAGTTGTATTATTATAGCGTTCATCTCAGTGGTTATATGTGTCTCTGCCTTGTATTATAAATGTCCAATAACTATAAAACGATAAATATTTTGAATTACTTATTTGTATAAAATAATTAAATCGAATCATTTGAAACGCTTTACACACAATACACACTGCAATAAACAAACACTGTAAAAAAAATTAGTTGTTGCCTTCAATTTATAAGTAAAATCAACTTGGATGTTGAAGTCATTTCAATTTAAATTACATTAAAATTACTTTTAAATTGTTAATGTAAAAATAATGTAAAATAGTTCATGTAAAAACATATGTTGTCATAACTTATATTTTTTACATTTTAATTTTACTGTGCACTTTACACTTCACAATGTCTCATTTGTTAACATTATTAGTTAAAGTGTAAACTATGAACAAACTATAAGCAATATTTTTTACAACATTTTTGTTAAAAATAAAGCAATTGTTTTGCTCGTCAATTACAGTAACATTGCATTAACTAATGTTTACAGACACACATTTCTATTTAAAAATGTATTGGTAAATGTTGAAATTAACATTAACTGAGATTAATAAATGCTGTAAGTATTGTTTATTCTTTGTTCATGTTAACTAATGTAGTTAACTAAACCTTATGTAAACTTTAAAACAGTGCGGTTTTTCTGTACTTTAAGCTTCCCAGTTTACTTCAAGACAAGAATGACTGGTATTCAGCTGAGATAATTTAATTTACTTTAAAATAGAAAAGTAAAAAAAAAAAAAAAAAAAAAAAAATCCTAACCACTGAGGTTTGTTTTGACCGCTAGACCTCGTTTCCACTTCCCCCTTTGATGGGCGGGACTTAGGATGGATCCAGCCAATGAGCGTCGAGGTAGCTACGCAGTCGCCTACCTTTCTGCGGATGGCCAAGCTTTCAGGGTGCTGTGTGTCTGTTTGACACGTACCCATAGACTGCACGTACCTCACCGTGATGTGTGGAAGTCTACCCATGTATCTGATGTGAAAGAATTTCGGGCGGTTCAAGACCGACAGACTTTTGTAACGTTCAGTGCAGACTGGTTTCATAACCTGCAACATGGAGCCAAGGGCGAGTGACGCGACAGCAGGTAAATACTGTATTACTACAGTAAATTGCTACAGTAAGTGGCCTAAAGAGATTGATATGGATCTAATACTATATCAGATAACTTTGCATAACAGTCATTAGCTTTATGCATCTGATTATATAAGGTCTATGTATCGTATGAATAAGTGCATTAAAAGTGAAAATGTATATAATTTTAATTTATTTCTCTAGGTTGAGTCGAAAACAATGCAAGTACTGTTTTGTAGTAGCCTATACTATGAAGTGTGTACTTTGTAAAATTGTAATCCTCAAAAGTTCTTGTATCGCGTATGAGTTCTCAGTTTAGAATATATGTATTCAGTTAACTTTGTCTCGGATGTTTTCTTAAAATTCTTTCTGTGAAGTGCCTGATAGACACAAATATTAATATAAATATCTGTGTTCAAAGCTGTAAACTTAATGTGGACAGCATATCTATCTCAGGTTATAATCTAGAATCAACAAGAAATATTTGAGTTCATAAAGAAATGATACTGACATCTCTGATCTGTCATTTAAAATTTGGTTAACTGGCAACACTGAGACATTTTTTTTAGATCTCTTCTGAAACGGTAGGTGTGATGTCCATCAGTATAATAATATTTTTATTTTTCTCAGGAGAAAAATCTGAGATACTGGCTAAATCAAAATGCTAAATCTCCATTCATTCACTCTCAATTTAATCTCATCGCTGATTAGGAGAACCAACTGAGATATTATTGAGATTTCCTTTGTCACTTTAGCAGGTGCTCAATATGTTGAACCCTCCAAAGCGAAGAAAAAGAGCAGTGAGGAGAACAAACAAGCAACTTCGTCTCCGTCAGAGCAGGCCAGCACCATGAAGCGTCTCTTTGGCTTTGAGAAAGAAGACGTGTCATCATGGCATCGGCTGGTGTGTCTCCTCAATCGCCCCACTGACCCGGCCTCATTGGGCATTTTCCGTTTCTTATTTGGTGAGTCTTCATTTGTGCATGAAGTATGTGACTTTACAGCATCCATAATTTCAAATTATTGTACAGGTGTTGATGTGTGCTGTGTTTCCTCAGGTATGCTGATGGCGCTGGACATCACCCAGGAGCGAGGCCTGAGTCACCTGGACTATAAGTACTTAGACGGGGCACCGGTGTGCCGCTTCCCCCTCTTTAACTTCCTGAAGCCCCTTCCCATGGACTGGATGTTCTTTGTGTATTTTGTTATGCTCCTTGGTGAGTTCCTCGAAAAACTCTTTATGAAATGCAACAGTGACTGCCCACTTTTCTAGTGGCCTTGCTTCTGGAGCCATATTTTATTTTCTTTTTATTTCTAGAACCCATAGTGTCATTTTGACAGATGTGAACTCAGCACTTCTTTAAGAGGACACTAGACTGATCATCCACTTGTGTTTTGCAGGCGCTGTTGGTATCATGCTCGGCCTTTTTTATCGCCTTGCCTGTCTGATGTTTATATCTACTTACTGGTACGTTTTCTTCCTGGACAAAACGACCTGGAACAATCACTCTTATCTGTACGGACTCATCGGCTTCCAACTCACGCTCATGGACGCCAACAGATACTGGTAAGCTACCACTTCTTGTACAGTGACCCCCAAAAACTTTTGGACACTTAGCTCACACTTAAAAATATGCATTACACAACAAAACATTAATCCAAGAGTAATTTATTTGTACATAAAACAAGCAAAACATTGTTTTAATGCAGGTCATTAGATGGCCTCAGAAACCCCAGGAAGAGGAACGCCCATGTACCGCTGTGGAACTACACTTTGCTGAGAACTCAGGTCAGCTGATGTATCTAGACATGGCCTGAAATATCATTCCTGTGTTGAAGGACATTATCTGCTTGTTATGATGAGATAGTAAATTTGCATTGCCTTTGACAGATTTTCATAGTGTACTTCATCGCTGGGGTCAAGAAACTAGATGCTGATTGGGTGGAAGGGTACTCGATGAAATACTTGGCACACCATTGGTTATTTGACCCTTTCAAGTGAGTATATTAGCCTTTAATTACACCCGCCTTAGCATGACACATTGTTGTAATGGATCAATATCGTGGCTATGTTTACACTGCAAGACTTAAGCCGCCTTTCCACAGCACACGACATTCGCAAATGATTGTCGCATTTTGCCCCCTAGTGTCAGTCGCACGTAAATTTGAAATTGGTCGTGAAGCAACCGTTACCCTCGGATATTCACAATGGTAAAATTAATGATTTTAATTAATGTAATGCATGCATGAATATGTCTACACAAAACAAATGACCCTCAATACATCTCAAGTAAAAACATAGTAGATTTTATAGCGCTAATCAATATAAATATTGATTTAATAATTATAAAATAGATTTTCTGCCATAGTTAATAATAACCGACATTTTACAGAAAGAGCGTTTACAGAAAAACATTAAAAAGTAAAAATATTGGTAATTGTAGCCTCACGCTCAAAGTTTTGATTAGAAGAATACATCACATCCGGTTGGCCGATCGCATACAGTCTAGCCGCAGAAGATACAAAGCTCAAATCAGATCCGAATTTTCCGCATACGCATATGATCAGAACTCCCTGCAGCTCCCATACGACTTTCCATTGGAAATGAATGACTTCTGGTCCGACGGCTGTCGTTTGTCGTGTGCAGTAGAAAGGCGGCTTTAGTGCTCAATTCTGATTTATTGCGCAGATCTGATTTTTTGTTTGGCTGTTCACTTTTTTTACAAAATGCGTCCGATATCAGATTCGAGGTTGAACTGATCGCAGTCCCAAACTGACCCTTTTTGCGTAAGAGAAAAATAACAACACGTAAACACAGAGGTTACTGAAGTCAGCTTTTACACGTCGAAGTCACACATGAGCGGAAAAAAAAAATCGGATTTAAGCAAATTTTGCAGTCATTCTGAATGCATATTTTGTCTAGGCCTGTCGTGATTATTAATAAATCGTCAGATATATTTTCAGTGACATTTTGACATTCAAATAAGAGAAATTTAAGCATTTATAGAGTGGTGCAGGTACCTAATTTTGTCTTCCCCCCCCCCTCTCCCTCAGAATGATCTTGCCTGTTGAATTGGTCAGTCTGATGGTGGTCCATGGCGGGGGTCTGATCTTAGACCTCACTGCTGGCTATCTGCTTTTCTTCGATGCCACACGTCCTGTCGCCATCTTCTTTGTCAGCTATTTCCACTGCATGAATTCCCAACTCTTCAGCATTGGTAAAAAAATTACCCTAAAGAACTAGTTTACTCAAAAGATTTGAGATTTTGAAAACTTAATGATGTTTTTTTTTATCCTCAGGAATGTTTGCTTACACCATGTTGGCCACAAGCCCTCTCTTTTGCTACCCTGACTGGCCTAGAAGGTTTTTTGGCCGTTTCCCAGAGTTCCTCTGGCCTGTACTGCCCCTCATCTCTCCTGCCCCGAGTCCCAGCTCCTCCTGCGTGTACCCAAATCCACCCAGTGTGCCTAGAGACCAGGATGAGACCCATTCGGCTCCCAAACCCACCACACCGAGCTTCAAGCACAAGTTTAGAGCCTTCTTCACCATCCTTTACATTGCAGAGCAGCTCTTCTTGCCATATTCACACTTCATCACGCAGGTGATTTTACACTGCACTAAGTTGTTTAGATCTAGTTTGATCTAGAAGGTTCATTGCGCTTTCACAATCAATGTAAACACAGATAGCGAACAAAAGCAAATATCTGCACAAACCTTTGGAAGAGGAATCACATGCCCTGCTCACGCTTCACTTCAAAGGCCCTGTTTACTCCTGGTATTAAGACGCATTTTTGTCGATCGCTTCACAAGTGGGTGACGCTAAATACATGTGGTCAAATGTGTACGAACAACCACAAAAGACGCCTACTCTCCGCCTACTGACTTAATACGTTAAAATTATGGGAAGCACGCTAGCCAGAAGGGATTAAAACTTCGTCGGCTGAAGACCCAAGTTTGGTTTGAAGACGACAAACGTACCAAGCACAATGTTCTCTCGCCATTTCTGATTCCTAACACGCACTCATAGCGTTCAGCATGATCTTGTGGCTGTCAGTGCAGAAACAAAAGCTGCTGCATTTTGTAGCCACTGCAAACAACACTACATTATATTTAAGTTTAATATTTCAGATGCCTTTTTAAAAGACTACAATTAAAAAAAAATGTATGCTTGTAGGAGTGACTGTGAAATCCACCTGCATTTGGCCTGTTTTAATGTCAAACACTGTATAAGAATTATACATGTATAGAAAAAATATAAGACTTCCAAATGTTAAACATTTAATCTCTGTGCCATACAGGGCTATAATAACTGGACAAATGGACTGTATGGCTACTCATGGGACATGATGGTTCACTCCCGCTCACATCAGCATGTCAAGATTACCTACAGAGATGGCAAAACAGGCGAGATTGGATATTTGAACCCTGGAGTGAGTAAACAGATTAAGCTTTATCAGTTATCATTTCAAAACATACCCGTTTGTGGAAATTTTTGTTTTAACATTTTTCATTAGCTTGCAATGCACGCATATGGAAAGAAAAGTGATTCTAAATTCATTTCCTGTTATAATGGACAACGTGCTACAGATACCATCAATGGAGCTTGACTTGACTTTTAGCCCACAATATTCCTTATTTTAACAATACAACAACTGGAGTTATTTAAATCGCACCACTACATTGTTATGCTTTTATACGATTATCTTCTCATGCCATTCCAATATGCCGCAGGTTTTCACTCAGAGCCGGAGATGGAAAGACCATGGAGACATGTTGAAGCAGTACGCGACTTGCCTCAGTGAAAATCTGCCACGCTTCAATATCTCAGACCCAGAGATCTACTTTGACATTTGGGTGTCCATCAATGACCGTTTCCAACAGAGGTTAGTCGTGTTTAATTTACATGTTCTTTGATTCATACATACAAAATGATAGTCCAATGCTTCTGACATCAAAGTTACAAAGCGTTTATTTCAATATGGTTCTGCTTCTATCCAATAGGATTTTTGACCCACGCTTTGACATCGTAAAAGCCGATTGGTCGCCATTCCGCCCCAATCCATGGCTCATGCCACTTCTCGTTGACTTATCACCATGGAGAACCAAATTTGAGGAGATTGAGGGGTCTTTGGACAACCAGACTGAGGTGGTATTCATTGCTGACTTCCCAGGTATGTATCTCTAACTGATTTTTTTTTTTTTAATGGAATATATTTGCTTTATTTGCACACACAGGTGCTCAGTTATTATTAATGTGTCATCCACAGGCCTTTTTCTAGAAAACTTTGTGAGTGAGGATCTTGGGAACACCAGTGTTCAGGTCCTGGAGGGTCTAGTGAATGTTGAAATAGTGGACGAAAAGAAGAACTACAGTTTACAATCAGGAGAAAAGATGCAGGTACAATTCTCCTATCCTCTAATATGACACACTGAACTCTTTGTTCTAGTGTAACATTTTAAACTCTTGCTATTATTAATGTTAGTATCTATATTGATATAAGATTCCAGCTGGCGCGTACCATAAAGTGTACACTGTATCAGAAGGGCCATCCTGTTACATGTACATTTATGTAAATACTACTGAGGCGGAGCTTCAGAAGAACTTCACCAAGCTTTCTGAACTTCAGGAGAAAGTGCGCAATGGAACAGGTAACACTTTCGGTCACATGGGAAAACTATGATTTTAAAACTACTACAAATTCCTTCGCATTAAATGAGTTCTTTGTTGTTTACCAATAATTTTTCAAATAGTTCATTAAAATGTCAAATAGTTCATTTATTCTCTTTAACATATTAACTTTGATTTGTACTGTATTTGCCAATGCAACATTGCAAACTGTTTTCACACAAATTAATTCATTGTAAAACAAAGCCAAGCCTTTATTCAAAATATGAACATGGCTTATTTCCACACTGTTAATATCTAATATTGTGAGTTACCTTTAATTTTATATTGTCAGGTTAAATTGTAATTTATTTTAGTATTTTTGTTTTTGCCATTTTTTTTGCCAGTTTGTTTTTTATATTTCTATTCAGATACATTTTTATTATTTTTTTTTCAGTTTCAGTTTGTCATTTTAGGACTTAAACTTATTTCAGTCAGTTGCCAAGGCAATATTTCTAACTTTCATTTTTTATACATTTTATCAATAAACAAAAACTATTTTTTCAAAAGTTTTAGCTAAAGTCAGCATGAAAGTAAAGTTGTGATAGATTTGTTTTAATTCCCTATTGTGATGTACAGGGCCGGCGGCACATATCTATAGGTGAATTAGGCAGCGGGTAACTTTTAACTTCCTTTAAAGTTAACTTAGTTTTGAATGAACAAAAAAAATCCCAAAACATGCTTGCACATTTTATTTTAGTGTATTTTTTAATGAATAAACAAAATTTTCACTTTCAGTGTTTTGACCCTAATATGATTTGTCTTACAGAACGGCCACTTTTTTGTGCACAGATAAATCATATTTCATAATAAATTAAAGAATTGTCCATTTTGATTCATGGTGGCTTTAACAATAGCAACACTGGTCTAAATCAAAAGCTACAACATCTTTAAACATTTAAGGGGCTGAAAGAAGCCATTTAATTTTTTTTGTGTGTGTAGCTACACTGAAGAAGCACGCATAATAACTTGTTGCTGTTTATAGAAACCGAGCCTTTGCCTCCCGAGATGCAGCCGCTCATCACCGGTCTCGACGACCAGGACTCGGACAACAGTGTGATCGACCCTGTAGTGCGAATCTTCCTCAAACGACAGAAGCGCATGCAGGAAGTGAAAAAGCGTCGGGAAGCTTCTATGGTCGAGAGGTTCCAGAGATTTGCCTCAAAGAAATACTACTCCATTAGACGAGGGTATGTAGGGGTATTAAAGGGAGATACTGTAATAAATGTCTTGCGACAGCATGAATTAATTGTTTGGTTCCTCTCTTAAGGATCCTGATGACAGCCATCGCTTTGCGTAACCTGGCTGTCGGTCTGCCCCCGCTTGAGCAACTGACAAGAGAGGTGGCCTACGCCAACCTGAAGGAGCCTGAGAGCGAGACCAATCAGGATGAGCGTCTTAAAGACGAGGTGGGCCACGGAGAGCTGTGAGAAAACACTGTTACTGAGCTGCTGGATTATCCTGCAGAAAATCAACAAATGCTTTAGCACGTCAGTATTTTTGGAACATTCCACGATCAGGTTATTGTTTACAGTTTTTTTTTTTTTTTTAATCATACACTTAAGCCCAAAAATTAAAATCTTTTACACACCCCTCATGTCATTCTCGACCCGTATTACTATGTTAGATTTTAAGATTTGTGAATAAGTCTTGAAATGTTGTCCTGTTGTTAACATGGTCCTGTCATATGGCTTCAAAAGACCTGGAATGTACTGTAGCGCACAAGTGGTAAAAGACTAATTTACAGTACATTTTTCTTTTTTTCTTTTTTGGAGTTTGACAGTCTTTCTTTATTCTACTTTCATTGTATGAAGAGAGAGAAAAACAGCAGGGACATTCTTAAAGATGTCTATTTTTGTGTCCCATGGATGTCATACAGGTTTGGACCAATGATGGACAGAATTTATAATCTTTAGTTTAACTATTCTTTCATTCCCTTTTACTGGTTACTGAAATGTAAGTAATGATGACACTAAGATTTACTTTTTTTATAAATAGTAGTCAGAAAAAAACATTAAAAGTTTAAAAGGGAGTAATTTAATATTACTTTTTCAGTATTAAAATAAATCTAAATGGAACTTGGCCTTTAGTGAGAATGTTTGGGAGCAGCTTTTGTTTTGTTTTTTAACTTTTAAAGTTTAAACCAAATAAAGGCTTTTACAATTCACTTATTTGTGCTTAAGGGATCCTGCTATGTTTAATCTCATCACAGGATTTATGCTCACTGCACACACACTTTACACCAAATGCATTTAGAAACTATTTACAGGTCATCTTTCAATTGGACAAATCTGGACTGTAAAAAGTGCCAAACATGGACGGGTACCGAATTGTCTTCGATGCATAAGTTTCATTATGCTAAATGCTGTTTTTAAACACCTGGGTGGCCTAAAAAAACAAACTCAACCTTTATATGCACACTGTCATTGTGGGATTGAGAATGCAAGAAAGCTGTTCAAGATCTGAATTTGTATGTGTCAGTTTTTTAATAAAACAAAAGTGCAACACTACCCCAATGTGTCATTATAACATGCTTGAGTGGTGAAAGTATTTAGTTAATGAATAAATGTGTTCCGTTTTATTGCTAGCAGTTTTAAAATGATATTCAGTTTTCACCCTTGTTAAAGTGCAAGAGACAATCCAAAGTGTCAACAAATACACACATAATGAAATGGCACATTGTCCACACAGAATTAAGACATCTAAATGAAAACGCACACTTCAATTCTGTAAAACTGCTTGAAATGGTACATAAATCCATTCTTATCGTTGTCATCTTTATAACATTTAAACAGCTATGACTCGTAATCACTCAAACCGAATAGTCATCACCAATACTACCTCCATCAGTAGTGTGTAAGCTTTTAAAACTATTGTTCACATGCGTCCTTTTTACACAGTGAAGTTCCTAACAATATTAGACTAACATTGGTCCAGACTAAACTGCATTTACAAAGAGGTAACCCACTGAAAAGGACTTACTTGGCTCCAGGTTAGCAGAGCTAACATGCATGGTAACTTAAGCTTTTGACTTTTAACAACTCTTTTTCACAGTTTTGGGTAGTAACATGATATAAGATATTAGTTGTGTTCGACAACGCAGTGCAGACCGACCGGTGTATGACATCAAAACGATGCTATAAGAGAGAAGACGTCTCTGTATGCTTTCGAATCGCTCTTGAAGTCACACACCGATCGGTCAAGTCCAACACACCTATTTATACACACTGGCTTGGTCCACCCATTACTTCCCTTTTTGCCAATTATAAGCCAAAGCTGTTAAATCGAAAATTGCCACATCAAAAACAAAAGAGTAAATAACGTCCATACAACAATTCAATAAATGAAAAGGTTTCAAGGCTCTTGAAAACAACTTCCTTATTTGATAAGTCACCTCATCTAGAGAAACATGCTGTCAGTGGATGAGAAAATCCGCCTGTCTGACCTCATATATGACACGAAGAGAGATGTGCAAATACTTGCCGAGGTACTTCTCATTTTAAATGAAACCTTGATTCGGCAGTCGATATGAATGTTCACTAAAACTAAAAATCAATTCCTGCATTTGCAGAACACAAAAACAAACAATACAATTTGATGGAGTGTTGAAACCAAACCACACTCTTCAAGGCTGTAATGAGTGAGTCTGTTAAACTGGTTCTGCGTGGTTTAGTGTTGGTAATGTGAATCCCTTTTTATCCGAGAACTTGATGTGATGTTGTCTGTAGTGCTGAGATCTACCTTGGCTGGAAGTCTGGATAAAATATCCCACGTAACACACCTTCGATAACCATATTTGAAAACGTATCTGCAAAACAATTGAAAAGCATGTATATGTAAAATAATACATATGCAGTGTTAAATACAAGATTGTTTTGGTTTTTGCAGGATGTTTTCTAGTAAAATACTATTAGTATGCAACTTTAACTACATGGTGAACAGATATAATCCTCTGGTTAAGTGAGCGAATGAGTCATCCGAGTCAGTTATCATTCACGATATTCCTGTTTTTACTGTATTTTGATCATATAAATGCAGCCCTGATGAACATGAATTTAATACGCATCTATACTATATACCTAATGTTAGCATTTTTGTATTTATTTTTATATCTATTTATTTATAAAAATGTGTTGCCATATGTTTAATATAATGTATCTGTCACTCCCAAAGAGCAGAAGAAAACATGAATGCACAATGCACATGCATTCTTTACCGCTTAAAAAACAAAAGCTGAAGGATAGACATACCGTTGGTGACAGGCAGCAGATAGGGATCCCTCAGGAAGAGAAGTGCTGGCTGATGTGTCAGTTTACTGCAGTGTTTGCAGAGGAAAGGTCAGAGATTGAGAGAGAGAGGGAGAGAATGACTCACAATCTAGTTTGGTTTCTGATGACAGTGTTAAAAAACAAAGCAGACTGTGAAATTTATCACATGGTTGGTGTCATTTCCCAGCTAGCGCAATAACTTCTCATAAAACACTTTAATAACAGCACGTCATGTATCAAAATGGCTCTGAAAGGTTGGATTTTTACATTCTGTGCTTCTTTCAGATGTAAATATTGCATACCTTGATTCCTCAGATTCCGTTTCAAATGATCTAAACAGAAAAAAAGACAGTCACTTTAGGACACATGTGCATTGTACAAAGATCTTTTTTGTAATTTACTATATTGAAAAGTCTTTGTCCAAAGGTCTGCTTTCTAAGGCCTTTACTTTAAACTAAATTACACGCTATAAAGCCTTACCCACAACTCTCCGTTTTTGGCAGTGACGGGAAATGGCGAATATTGAGGAAATCCAAGAATATCTTTGGCAGAACCTCATTTTCCATGATTATAGTCTACATATGCACAGCACACACACAGAAAAAAACAAATCAAATGGTTATTCCAGAATATGGGAAAGGGGCTGTGTCACTGTGTGATTTATCTATACCTGGAGGTAGAGCTCTAGTCCCAGTCTCCTCTGCTCAAGAACCTTAGGCACCCAGTTCCTTACATGCTTCGAAGGGATTTCTGGAGGTTTAATGCTCTTTTTAAGCTATTAAATAGTAGTTGGGGGAAAAAATATGTTACACACTGTCCAGAAAGAGTCTATGGAGTTTACACACAGGGCAGGGATGTTTTTCAAGTGTTTTTCAAACACTTTAAATTGCGTAAATTCTACTTCTTGTGACACTTGACGTCAAATATTCTCTTTCCTCAATGTACACAATCATACAGTCTTTATGTACTCTAGTAGCACACAAGTGATGATCTGAGAAATTCTGCTGAAAACTTGCAGATGTTGTTTAATAAACTATTTTATTAAACACTGCTCGACACTGCTTTTTTCACATATTTGTTGTTATTTAATAATAATAGTATATTATTGGCATATTGGAATCACCCTGGAACAGTTAGTTACAGTCAAAATATAGTTCATGTATTAGATTAGATTGTATGAATTAACAATGAATAAACATTTTACAGCATACAATTTAGGAGATATCTAATAAGGTTAAGGAAAAGTAAGAATGATTCATCCTGTTCATAAATATATTCTGACATAGAAGAGTATGTTTTTTTCTGCTGTGTATTAGAAGAAACAGCCGGCCATTTATTCTTTTTGATTGTAACATCACAAATGCAGAAGATAATCACTCATTTGTAATCAAATATATTTTTATCATGAAATTTAGAGATTTTTTTTTATCATGAAAAACCTGAATATGTTGCCAATTTCTTTATAATGCATGCCAAATGTTTCATTCACAGACAAACAATTGTCTAATTATCCTTTGTTCCTTGAATTCCATTCATCCAGACTTATACGCAATAACTACTAGCCTAGATTTATTTAACCTTATGCGAGTTTATTAAAATATTTCACTTAATTGTGATGTTATGATTTCTTCTATGTGTATCATGTTTTCCACTATGTAATTATTTGTTTTCATGCAAACTTTAATTCATAGATATGCAATTTTTCATGATACATTAACTAATGTTAAATAAAGAGTTACGAATTTATTAAAAGTATACATACAAATTAATAATAATTAATTACATTCGAGAATTTAGCACAAGCTTTTATCCAAAGCAACATTCAAGTGAGTCAAAATTAAAGGGAGAGTTAATTCTGTCATCATTTCATTTCTTTGGATCCACGTTTTTAGTTTTTAGGGGTTTTTTTTTTGTTAAATTATCAAATACAAAACATTTCATATTTTACTGCAGTCTGATTAAAAAATGTTGTGCTTACCATTTTATGCAGGGCGTGAAATTCACTGTAGCGTTTCTCAACAGTGTGCTGTCTACCACACATGAGCACCTCGATCTTAAACACCTGTCGAGACAAAATGCTCTTCTATCATTTCCTTTCAATAGAATACAGTCTAATTGAGTGGGCTGAGATAGCTCATAAATGTCAGGATGAATTCACTTCAAAAACAGGCTATGTCAAAACTTAGACATCATTTCCACGCATCATAGGAGCGGTTGGAGTGTTCAAACGCGCCCAAACATGCTCCAGTTAGTCAGCGCAAAAGGCTTTGAGACACTGCCAAAGAGTCTACTTTTTCACTGAGGTCAAGTGTAACGTTTATTATCGTAAATTGGAATGAAAGCATGTTCACGCAAGCAGGCTGGTCTTGAAAGTAGCCGCTGTTGAACTCACCGTGTAGCCCTTCTCCATGTTACTGCCCTCCGATCGAAAAGACGGGATTGACACTTCTAAAGGATGCATTATCCAACGAGATATATCAGCAATTATGTGGCACACCAGATCAAGTTATTGCCAGAGACCTTGGTGGGCCCTTCAGAGTAATTGTATTGGTTGTCGAGTTCACTTCACTGGACGCCTGACATGAATTGAAAATATTCCACGCACTTCTTCTCCATTGCACGCAGGAGGTTCAGCGGTCGGTCTCTAGGCTAGATGTGATGCTGCCACCTGTCGGTCGGACACAGATTACATCACTGCAGCGATGAGCGCGCGCGCTTTCCCCATGTTTTTTTTTTTTTTTTTTCCAGTCGGATAAGGCACAGTTGTGATATAAATGAGTAAGACGTTTGCTGTTGTTAGCTTTAGCCTATGTATTGTAATAAATGCATTTGGGGTTCCGGGTTATGTCATTTTTTAATCTCATTTCAATTAAACTTATTATGACTTGGCAATGTTCAACATCATCCATTCAGCTCGGTTACCAAAGTTACTGTACGAAAAAATATCAAAAGGAACTAAATTATGTCTTTAGGTTTGTATGTCAGGGTTCGGACTGTTTATCGTCCTGTGCTCTTTATGTCCTCGTATTTGTCATTGGCTTTGTCGCAAATCGCCACCTGTACTTTTGAATAGGGTACTATTTGAAGGGACAGCCATTGTAGTAGTGTCTGAAACCATAGTGGACGTTATCGAGTACGTACACTCATCCCACAATGCACTGCAATAACAAGTATACAACCAATGTACGGTGGGCTGAATTATCATGAGAATACCAAGTCAGAATACAAATAAGACAAATTCACTTAATGAGGCTGAGTGTGAAGTTTATTCAAGTAATTTTCATTTAATATAACACGTGTTGCAGTAATATGAGTATCTGTATATAAATATCTACTTAGAATACACAACTAAAGCATCCCTTTAGCACACACACACAAAAGTAAGTTTCAGTAAAAAAAAAAAAGAAAACCAAGAACAACAGTGTGGATCACCATCTGAAGGTTTCATTTTTATATTTGATCAGTCTGAGAGAATGATGCTAATGATTTGGGGGATGTGTGGTGTCAAACTGTGGCGGATTCTGGACAAATAACCAACATTTTATCCAGTTATTAGGAGGAATCCAGCACAATATGACCCTGGACACTTGTTTTTGCTTAATAAATTCAAAGCAACAAAACAAAAACAAAATAATAATGTAATTTACTTTAAAACTGTATTTATGCCTCAGGTTTTTATATTGTATGGCATAGTCAACACTAAAATGCCCTGCTGATTATTGGCTCTCACAAACAGGAAAGTGGCCCATGACCTCCGTCAATTTATATGTTCACTTTGTCGCAGGTTTTTATCATCAAACTTCATTTCTGATGATCATTTCCTATTCCTTGGTATTATTTTGTAGATTCTTAATACCTGAAATAAACCAAAAACATGAATATGTTACATTTATCTACATAAATATGTTACATTTAAATGAATAGGGCAGTTGGTATACTCACTGTGAAATATGACATCCTGAAACATAAGCGTAGTTTCCGGTGTAACGCACATCACAGCGCACAACGTTGTTACTGTAGTCTGACTCTGGCACCTGGTAACTGGGATTTACACTAACCTAAAAACCAGAAAGGGAAAAACAGGCTGGAACTCAGGAACATGATATTTCTTGAATACAATAACTCTTAATTTAATTAAGGCCATAAACCTTGAGGATGTAGTTTCCAGGTTTCACATCGGTAATATCTATCCATTGGCAGTCGATGTCGGCATTGTAAGTGTCATAACAGCCTGGACTCAGACCCTGGACCAATAACAACAATATACTTTCAGCACACAGATATGTAAAATGGTAAAGGTGTGTTATTTGGGTTGCACTTTATTTTACAGTATGCGGTACTAGGTAAATATGGCTTAATACAGGTAATATTTATAGGTTAAAGGTATAGGTTCAGGGTTATTGCATAGTTATTACACAGTTATTGTAATCACTATAATAGTATGTACAAGTGGAACATGACTGTAAATAAAGTGCTACCGCTATTGGATGTACCTTGAAATATGATCGAAAAAACAAGATATAATATTCATACAGCATCATGGTATTTTACAAAGTACCATGGTGTTACCATATCATGCAATCACTGGACCCTATGGTGAAAGTATCTGAAACTGAAGTTCCGATTCTCTATTATGATGTCTGATATTTGATATCATGGTGACTATGATGTATTAGGTGTGTTTGCAACATAAACACTTACAAATGGCAGTTAGAATAATTACACATTGACTTGTATTCTTTATAAACACAGTAAACCCAGAGTGCATAGTAAATCCATCCAAGATGGTGGACAATGCAGTAAATATTTGAACATATCTACCTACAGTAAAATGTATTCAGTGCTAAAAGTATCACAAAAATTTAGATCTTAACAAAAATGGGATATTTTACCAAATATTTGCGTTTTATCTATTGTTTATGTTTTTTTGGAGGAGTGCCGTTAGCTTAGCAACATGCTAACTCCAAAGTCTTTTGAAATCTATTGTGAGTTTTGTCTGCTGTGCTTTTCATGAGAAGAACTAATTTTTTATAATTTATAGAGTTGCTACCAAAACCGAGGGTTTCAAATCCATTACATTTGAGGTTTCACTTCAGTCATAGAAATATATACATGAATAATGACTTTTAAAGTTACCATGATATCAAAATGGACAATTCTTATTTTTCATGGAATATTGGAGTATTTATTAAAAACAATGTATTCATGTACATCATTATTTTTCATGTGCCTTGTAATCTTTAATCAAAATATCTTCCCTTCCCTCTTGCATCTTATCTCTTCTCTGATGATGTGGCTGGCATGAGGGCGGAGCAACATGTCACTCACATGAGATCGACCAATAGCAAACTACAATCAATTCCAAGTGGACAAAAGTCTCGCTCCACATTTGTTCTTGTTCCAGAAACTGAATATATATGACAAGAAGAAAAGTGTCATGATCCTGGTATTCTTCTCTTACACTCTTCCGCCCTCTTCTGGTCACACTCTATTACATCCATTCACACACACATTCCCATTCATTATCCTATTCTCTCATCACTTTCTCTCCTCCCCAACTTTCCCACTTTCTCTGATTAGACTCTCTATTTCTAGGTTTTCCTTTCACTTGTTCTTTGTCAGATTATTGCCTGCTATATACCTCTTTGCCAGCTGTTTCAGTTCTGTCTACTGACCAGTGTTGTAGTCGAGACCACCTAACTCGAGTCCGAGTAGACACCGAGTCCATAGAGAGTCGAGTCCGAGACCAGAGACGGTCGAGTCCGAGTCGAGACCGAGACCAGTGAGGGTTGATTACCTAATTTACTTTTATTTACTTAGAGAAATCCTTTTTTTTTTTTTTTTTTTTTACTGAATTTACTTAGAGTTTAAAAAATATGATCAGTTTAGGGTAAAAAGGCCACATAGTAGGTGGTGTTAAAAATAATTTTATTAAAATTTGTCATGCGCAGTTGCGCACTAGAAAATCACCAATCACTGGGCGTGTCAATCAATTTAAAGAAATATTTTATTAACATACATTAATAATCATGAAAAATATTTTGAATTGAACTCGAGTTGACTCAGGAATAAGTCCGAGTCCTAAAAAAAAAAAATTTCGAGTACGAGTCAATTCCGAGTCCAAATGGACACGAGCTCCATGACAAGACCAAGACCATTAAAATATGGTCTCGAGACCGAGTCCGAGACGAGTCCGAGTCTCGAGTACTACAACACTGCTACTGACAACTATATTACCTCGCTTCTGCTGTATCCAATCTCCAGCAAACCAAACGGGAGTGGTCCACGGTTTGGCGTTCCCGTACTCTCAACAGACCCAGCCTGTTTAACCCTTTGGGGTTTTCCAGTTGCTGGTCCTGACTGTGTATTTCTGTTCCATTATTACTGAGAGACTTTGTGTTCCCTTTTGACTGAGACCTTCTTCTGTTGGATTTAATACTGAGAGACTTTCTGTTGGATACCTTGTGACCACCTGTGATATCTGTGTTTGTCATCTCTTAAATATTGTCAAACTGCCTTTTACATTTGGGTCCTCTCTCCTAACTCGTGAGTCGTGACAAAATGACTATTGCAACTTTTGTTTCATGCCGACTTTAATAAATGAGTGTGACCTGAGTGTGGGAGGTGCAGGCGAATCGTCGGTAGTAGCCGTAGTCACAGGACGTGTCCTCGAGACAGAAACTGGCCTTGTGTCCCTCCGCTACTCTTCTCTGAGAAGAGGCGTCCAGCAAGTCATAATGGCTGAACTCGTCCATGCTGTGGTAGTGCCTATAGAGACAGCAAAATATATCAGGTTATCATCATGCATGACTTTCAACTGGTGCATTTCAAATTTTTCCTGCCTCTGGGAATCGCATTGATAAGTGGGCTAATCGACTTAGAATTCCCATTCATTTTCAACGCTTTAATCGTATTGATGGATTTCCTTAACACTGGGACATGCATCAGACTTTCAGGCAGAGAGGAATGTCATGTGGAGCTTTTCCAGATGGAATTCACGGCCAATGTGTGAGCAGGAATTTACACCACTAGAATCTGCAGTTTTCATGCGTTTTTTCATACAATTACAATAAATGGGGACTTTGAAAGCAAAAGCACCGTAAAAGTTTCTTAAACCTTTCAGTAGCTTTGTATGAGGAACACACTGAGACGTAATCTTTTCTTCTACCAGATCATTAGCCTCCATTAGTTTCCATCCATCTATTTGTATGCAAATTTTCTTAGCCAAAGTTCGTCATCAAAATCAAAAAAGTTCGTCATCAAATCAAAAAAAGATTCATTTCGAAAGATTGCGTTCCCAAACACCAGGCGTCCGAACTCATTGCTTTTCATTTTCGCTCTCTGAGACAAAAGTCATTTAAAAAGAGCTTTGCTTCCTCAATTACAGTAACTTCTATTTTTATTACAGATATATTGCGCCAAGTTCCCAGGAAGAAACAATTTTGTTCCTTTTAACACATGGGATGAAATGGTGCTTTTTTTGGCAAATGTTTTTGTGTAGTTGACCTATAAGCAGGGCCTAAAACAAACATTTTGCCCCACCTACCAATTGCCGGTGACTTGGGAAAATGTACCAGCCATAAATAGATTTTTTTTACCGGCCATGAAACCAAAATTTTGGTTGTTATTTCGATAGGCTGCCACAGTTAAA